TTCACCAGGACCTTAAATCATTCTTATGACATTTATTACTGTAGCATTGCTGGAGTAACTGGGTCATGGTCACATACATATACTGTACTGATACAACTTTATAACAATTTATTATTTATGAGTTGTATCGACTCAGGTCTCAGTAGTCCATTTCACCTAGAAAAACTGTTGTGATCTACTAATACATTCATACATGTTATCTCATTCTGTAATGTCTAACTATCAAGTGATTGGTTGATTCAAATGTGAAATTCACGCTTGTAGAACTGGAGATCTGTAACTGGATAATAAGTTAATTTATGGAAACATCAAAAACACATTTTTAACAGATGTATTTCATTGATGGTATATGTTTAAATCTGCTGCTGACAATGGAAGAACAGTTAAATCACATGTATTGTAAAGCATTGATTGTGATAAAACATTGAGAGTGGTTGTAAACATTATTAAGTGAGTAGTGTATTGTTTCTGTTGGTAACACCAGACCAGAAATCTTAGTTGGTATTGGTGGCTCACAAATATTCATCAGTGACATTGAATCATATGTTCTGTAGGTGTCATATCAATATATTGTTTATTTTGAAACATTTTGAACCTCTTAAAGGATAAGGTGGCAGTGAACTTTGGATGTAGCCAAGTATATACAGATCGCACTTAATTACTAGTTACAATTTTTAGGGGCATTAAAAGATTTAGGGATGTTTCTGTATTGCTGGTCTATTGGTCACCATTTTTAATGGCATCAATCTGGTTTAGGATGTTTCTGTATTGTTGGTCTATTGGTCACCATTTTTAGTGGCATCAATTTGGTTTAGGGATGTTTCTGTATTGCTGGTCGATTGGTCACCATTTTCAGTGGCATCAATCTAGTTTAGGGATGTTTCTGTATTGCTGGTCTATTGGTCACCATTTTTAGTGGTAACAATCTAGTTTAAGGATGTTTCTGTATTGCTGGTCTATTGGTCACCATTTTTAGTGGCATCAATCTGGTTTAGGGATGTTTCTGTATTGATGGTCTATTGGTCACCATTTTAGTGGCATCATTCTGGTTTAGGATGTTTCTGTATTGCTGGTCTATTGGTCACCAGTTTTAGTGGCATCATTTTGGTTTATGGATGTTTCTGTATTGCTGGTCTATTGGTCACCATTTTCAGTGGCATCAATCTAGTTTAGGGATGTTTCTGTATTGCTGGTCTATTGGTCACCAGTTTTAGTGGCATCATTCTGGTTTATGGATGTTTCTGTATTGCTGGTCTTTTAATTATGATAGTGGCATCAATCTGGTTTAGGGATGTTTCTGTATTGATGGTCTATTGGTCACCATTTTAGTGGCATCATTCTGGTTTAGGATGTTTCTGTATTGCTGGTCTATTGGTCACCAGTTTTAGTGGCATCATTTTGGTTTATGGATGTTTCTGTATTGCTGGTCTATTGGTCACCATTTTCAGTGGCATCAATCTAGTTTAGGGATGTTTCTGTATTGCTGGTCTATTGGTCACCAGTTTTAGTGGCATCATTCTGGTTTAGGATGTTTCTGTATTGCTGGTCTATTGGTCACTATTTTTAATGGCATCAATCTGGTTTAGGATGTTTCTGTATTGTTGGTCTATTGGTCACCATTTTTAGTGGCATCAATTTGGTTTAGGGATGTTTCTGTATTGCTGGTCGATTGGTCACCATTTTCAGTGGCATCAATCTAGTTTAGGGATGTTTCTGTATTGCTGGTCTATTGGTCACCATTTTTAGTGGTAACAATCTAGTTTAAGGATGTTTCTGTATTGCTGGTCTATTGGTCACCATTTTTAGTGGCATCAATCTGGTTTAGGGATGTTTCTGTATTGATGGTCTATTGGTCACCATTTTAGTGGCATCATTCTGGTTTAGGATGTTTCTGTATTGCTGGTCTATTGGTCACCAGTTTTAGTGGCATCATTTTGGTTTATGGATGTTTCTGTATTGCTGGTCTATTGGTCACCATTTTCAGTGGCATCAATCTAGTTTAGGGATGTTTCTGTATTGCTGGTCTATTGGTCACCAGTTTTAGTGGCATCATTTTGGTTTATGGATGTTTCTGTATTGCTGGTCTATTGGTCACCATTTTCAGTGGCATCAATCTAGTTTAGGGATGTTTCTGTATTGCTGGTCTATTGGTCACCAGTTTTAGTGGCATCATTCTGGTTTATGGATGTTTCTGTATTGCTGGTCTATTAATTATGATAGTGGCATCATAAGATTTAGGGAATTTTCTGAATTAGAGGTCTATTGATTATGATAGTAAGTGGCATCATAAGATTTAGAGAAGTTTCCGAAATGCTGGTCTATTGATTAAATCATGGCACTAAAGCTGTTGTTTATGCACAACTCTAGTGTGGCTCTTAAGTGTTTATTTATGGTACTGCATAACATTTATTTCTCCAAATTGCCTTGCCTGTCAACAAACCAGAGTTTCATGGTGCACTTTCTGTAACAGGCAGGATAATCTTACTCAGGGTCTAATAGCCCTTATTGCCTGCGGATGAGGACTTGAATGGTGTTAACTGGCGTGAGGGGGTTGTGATAGTAGGGACACATTACATTGCAGACAGCAGAATCAATACACCTGACAGATGTAACAAATACACAACAAGTTTTGTAATGTGATTTTCATTAATCAAGTTTATATCGTATTATATGTGGCACATTGATCACATCTACTCTAACTTATTGAAGGTTTGTAAGTGTTGTTGTTTTTTTTTTGTCAGAACATATTTCTGTAGGAATATATGGTGTTTGAGTGTTTCCTGTCTTCACTTTGAGTGATCACCAGAGTGCCACATAGAGGTAGTTACAAACCTTCCAGGACATTTATTACTATTTGGCAGGGACTACTAGGCTTACTGTTAAGTTAGATTGCATTCATATTGATGTTTGTCAGTTCAATGACATTTCTGTGTTTATAATGCCTTGACATAAACTTAAATTCATGCTTGCTGTTCACAGTGTCTGTATGTCACATTTTTGTTTCAATCTAAATTGGTCTTTGAAATCTGCTTTGAAACAATTTTTGTTTCTATATAAAGAGGAAGATTTCATCTTTTGAAGCTTTGGTTACTGTTGAATGCTGTGTTACTCTTGACAATATAATACTACAATAGAACCCTTTTAAATTGAACACACTTTCATGTTTATGGAGATCTGTTTTAGACATATTGTTTACTGCCTTCATTGGAACCTTATTAGACCGAACACACTTTTGTATGTTTGTGGAGACCTAAGACATATTGTTTACTGCCTTCATTGGAACCTTATTAGACCGAACACACTTTTGTATGTTTGTGGAGACATACTGTTTACTGAATACTGTACATTTTGGTTAAACTGATTTATTTGAACTTGTTGTTTTGCAGCAACATTATATCATCTTGATGTCTGGTTTGTTTTGATAGAAACAGAAAATGCTCAGATTCGTACACAGATAATTCCACATGGTTTTACTAGGCAGCTTATTGATTGAGAAAGGCGGTCTTTTGATTGAGGTGACAAAACCTCACTATCAATGAGGTGACATCTAGCACTTACCTAAAACACCCTGTTATTAACCCTGCTCTGAGGCAATTAGTGAAACGTTCCTGAAATGATAATGATCAGCTTTTACCATGATGTAGTTTCGCAAACACATTTTATGGTGTCATGTCATTCCATTTTTCAGCAGAGCAGCTTTCCCGAGGGAAATTCTGTTTACTTTAAATTCTAAAAACTACAGATGTTTCTGGGAAGAATTTGGATGGTCAATTTTACAGAAGATATATTGTATTTAGATAATAATTGTGTGCAACACAGATTTTAAAAGGCATCTGTGAATCATTGTTTGAAATTGCATGCTGCCTGTATTCTTTTTTTTCTGCTAATGGAGATTTCAAGAAATTCTATGTGGTTTCCGGTGTAGTTGTTAAGTATTCTCTGTACATTTTGTAACTTTGTTTAGAAAATATGGTGCATGTTCTTCCTAATAAATCAATTGGTATAAAAGGCTGGTAGAGTGCTTTAATTTTGTGTGATGGAATTTGCAACTTTGTTTTTGAAACAAAGTGAAGCCATTCAGAGTAATTGGCTGTAGTTATTTCTTCATGGAAATGACAACATATTTGCCAGATTTTTGATTTGCAGATCTATCAAGTCTTGAAATCAAAAACTCAATGAAATATTGTTACTTCATAATTGGATTTTGTTCATATTTTTGAAATCACACTGGGATACCATAGACTGTACAATTAATATTGACCGACTAGAATACTGGTGGATGTGAAGAATTTCACTTTAAATTTTAATATGTACAGGTTCCTGTTTAGATGCAATGAAAGAAATATTCATGAGGTTTCAATAATCAGATATGAAATTTTGAAAGGAATGATATAGAATTTTGAGAGGAAGTTTTGTGTGAAAACATTTTCTGCAGCTAATTCAAAATCTGAAATTCTATAGGTGATGTAACAAGTCTTTATTGGTATAAAAGTTATAAATGCACAGTTGCTGTAAAATCATGAGAATGCAGTTGAAACAACAAGAACATATTGCCAGCTGCAGTACCTAAACATGTTTAGTAGATTTCAGATGATGACAGGATAGAAATATCAGATTAAAAAGCTATAAAACAAAGACAATATCTTCTGGATCACAACATGCTGTTTGCAAATGTTACAAGTACAGAGTTCATATTTTAGAATTGAAATTGATACGAAATACTGTGCCTAACCATGCTATTGTTCTCAAACGCTATAACTTATTGCTACAGCAATATTGTTATCAGTGATTACTAAGATCATTAATTCTTGTGAATAAATTTTACTGGTACATTTACATGATAAATCTTACAGAGTCACAATTGGTCAAATGTCCTCATGGATTATCACCCATATACAGAATCTTGAAGATAACCTCTGTCTTAATTTTGTATAAGAAACTTATAGACCTTAAAGCTGATGGTATGTGTTTCACTAATTGTTAACCTTTGATTTAAACAGAGCCTCCCAGTCGGAGTTGGACTCATTGACCAGCCTGATCGGGTCTATGTGGACACACTTTAACCCGCCAGTGTCCCCAACCAATCTTAACCTTGATGATATGTTCAGCTTCCTTCAGGAGGAAAAAAGCGAGAACAGCAAAGATACAAAAGGTTCTACTCAACAAGCCCTAGATAAAATCAACGAAGAGTTTGAGCTCCTCAACGACTTATTAACAGAGGACATGGTAAGACTTGTCATTTAACTAACACCTTATATTGATATTGAAGTTTTTCTGTATCAATTGGTATGATGATTTATGAGTTGTAATGTTTCATTTTCAATTCTTTTGTCATAATTTCAGAACACCTTTTAAGCTAGCATAGTCATAATAAAATGATGACAGTTGAACAAATCTTACTTATTCCGTTTCAAAATTATTTTTATCTCAAAAATAAAAATCTAAGGAACAAATAACAAGATATATATGTTTTGCAAAATTGTGTCTATAATTATACAAATCTTAATCTTTAAACTTAAACATGCAATCAAATTTGCTTCGAAAATTAATACCTATTTACATATATCTGTATTCAAGACAGTTATGTAAGTGGTTCTTAAATGTTTCTGGTAAATTAAGATGTAAAATTTGATTAAAAAAATTCAATATGTTGTACTTCAGGAGAAGGCAGAGGAAGATACAAGCAAACAGGAGACAGATATCCTAGAAGATTTAGACCGCATTGTTAATGGTCATGATCTTCCCCCACCTCCACCAGAGATGCAAGAGTCTATCTATGAAGAGCTACCCCTTCCACCACCTGACGACCTACCACCTCCACCAGCCATGACAGACTCTGTGGGCCATGTTATTCCTCCCCCTCCACCTGGCCCAGCACCTGCCCCTCCCTGCAGAACATCTTCTCGCAGTTCCACAGGTCCCATATCTCCCCGCTCACTTCCCCCAGAAATAAGCATCCCACCGCCACCCCCACTGGAGGATGACTATGTACCTGCCCCTCCTCCACCACCGCCCCCTATGCCATCAGTAGGAGGTCCTCCACCCCCTCCTCCTCCTCCAAACATTGGTCCTCCTTGCCCACCCCCCTCATTACCCTTGCAGACATCAACACGCCCTCCTTCATCATTATCCATTGCTACTCCCACTTCAGAAACATTTGAGTCCCTATCCTCATATGACGACAACATGTCAGAAATCCTTGAAATGCAAAATGTTTTATCACAATTTGAAAAAGGTGTTGATACACCTCCGACCAAGCGCCCACCAATATTGCCCCCACCTCCAACCATTCCAGCCCCACCTCCACCACCAGAGGCAGTAACAGCAAGAGTGACCAAGCGCCCACCATCTATAGACCTCAAGACTGGTCGCAGGTCATCAGAACTTCCACCAACATATGTAGAGGTCTTGTCACCCACAACAGAGCGAAAACTTCATCGTATGTTGTCAGACAAGTCAGATGATGGTGGTATACCATCACAACATCCACAACAAAGAGTGCCACCTATTGCCAGGCAATTACCAAATGGGGAGATAACTCCAACCACTCCAGTGCGAGAAAATGGCTTCTTATCAGAGGATTACTACTATGATATTCAGGAATTTGCCAATAAATATTTCAATGACCATCCGAAGGATGTAGGGGGTACCATCATGAAAAGTCTGCGAAAGAAAAGACATTCAGCTGAAGTAAGTTGTTCACATAGACTGCATACCAGGTAGTTATATATCATTCAGAGTGACTTAATAAAAGCTTAATTATCATACTTGCATGTGCTGTAATATAAAATTTGATCTTGACTGTGCGAACATTTCAGAATGCTAAATCGGAAATGCAGGAACACAATCTTTTAATCTGTACATTAGCAGGAAAACATTTCTATAAAGAATTATTAATTAAGAACATTTATTATATAGTTGTGTATCTCCCCAGTAGAAATACTAATGTAATGCAATCGTTAATTCACTACTAGAGAGTATAACACTGTTTTATACTTAAGTATCAGTCACATGACACAGTATATGATAGCTGGTGTTGTGTATTCTGTATTTTAGGACCTGGTGAGTAAGGAGGAGATGCTTACCTTCAGTAAAACAGGTGTGATTCCCACATCACATGTCCACCTCCATGACCCAGAAAACACCCACCAAGCCTGTATGATCTTCAAGGTAGTTACAGCATCATCTTTCAGAATCTTGTAGTTTCAGTCTTTATAAGTATGTAAGCAGCTGTTTAAACAATTGACATATCACAGATGTATCAAAGTTAATTTAGTCAATGCTATGTAAAGCACTGGTGTCATCTTACCATTAATATATATTTCTAATAATGTTTTAAAAAATACAATTTCAGGATATCACAGAATACATCAAGGATGAGATCAAGGACAACAATGCACTGTCTGTTGTGCAGAATGTGATCAAGGCTGGTCTAGAGAGGATAGAACTCCGGGACGAAATACTCTGTCAGATCATCAGACAGATAAACCAGAATCCAGACAGAGGCTGGCTCGTACAAGCTTGGGTGTTACTGTGTCTGAGTACTGCTGCCTTTTCGCCAAGTAAAACCCTTCACAAGGTGAGTACTAATACTCAGTGTATGTCTGGGTGTTACTGTGTCTGAGTACCGCTACCTTCTACCGAAGTATAGTCCTTCACAAAATGAGAATTGAAAGTCAAAGCAACCTGGGTTTTACTGTGTCTGAGTGCTGCTACATTCTCCCCAAGTAAAACCCTTCACAAGATGAGTACTGTTACTCAATACAGGTCAGGATGTAACTGTCTGATAAAAAGTGCCTTCTCCTCAAGTGAAATTCTTCACAAGATAAGAACCAATACTCAATACAGACCTGGGTGTTACTATGTCTGAATACTACTGCCTTATTCCCAAATTAAACCCTTCACAAGGTGGGTGCCAATTCTCAATACATGTACAGGTTTGGTGTTACTGTGTCTAAGTACAGCTGCATTCTCCGTAATTAAGACCCTTCATGCCAATCCGCAGTAAAGGTCTTGGTGTTGCTATATCTGAGTATAGCTGCTTTCTCCCCCAGTGAAACTCTTCTCAAAGTGTGTACCAATACTGAGATTAATCGTCTCTACCTTGGGTATTGTAAATGTTGCTCCTGAAGATATCTGTAACTGAACACAGCTGTGATCTTTCCTTGAAAAGTTCTTTACAAAGTGAACACTTGTACCTGTAATGCAAGGATTTTACTTTGTTAGCCATGTTCACTTCTTTTAATGGCGACAGTATTGTATCATATCTTTTAAAACACATTTGATATACACTTCTCTTTTCCCTGAGGCTGAATTAGGTTTATTACACTATATCTACTAGTTGGTTTGTATTTGTATATCTTAAGTACTAAAATTTACATGGTATTATAACTGTATTTCTGCAGTACATCCTGTGTTATGTGAAGAGGAGTTGTAGTGACAGTATGGTCGGAAAGTTTGCTCTCCAATGTCACAGACATCTGACCGTGCCCCGAGCCATGGCTCGCAAGTTCCCACCTTCAACAGCAGAAATCATGGTAAGTTTTCTACAATCTGTAGAGTTAAGTGTATAAACAATACATGTACTTAAAATACAATACTTTCATAGTTATCAATTTTGAGATTTCTGGAATACATCATGTTTTCTACAGTTTACATATGAAAATTGTAATCTGCTAGTGTTAAATTTCAAGTGCATGGTCTTCATTTCACCCCAAAGTGACCCTCTTTTCCTATGGCTAATTTGGCCTCAGCAGTAAATACCTTTACTGGTTAAGATAGGTTAGAAGATTTATAACAAAGTATTGACATAATTGAAAACCATAATGTCAAACTGGTTTGGTAAATAGGTATCCTTTAAATTCAAAACTCATATGTAGTGACATTAAACATAATACTGGTGCTATGCATTTTGTGATTTCTATGAATCTCAATTTAGTTCATCTGTATGAATTTAGAAACATGACCTATTTAGGAATGTTTATTAAATAGATCATATGCCTTAACTATATAGGAATTGTAATGAGATGAAAACTGGTTTGTGTCTTACAGAGTGTACAGAACCTGAGTCCCTTGGTATGTAAAGTGTATTTTATGGATGGCAAGACGAAGGGCATCACTATCATGCCATGTGACACGACTCTGGAGGTGTTAGATAATGTGGCAAGGAAGATAGGTTTACGTGCTGTGGAGGGTTGGGCTCTGTATGAGGTAAACACACTCACAAACTCACAAACCATAGTCTTTATCATGAAGTTTTTATATTGATATTTTTTGATAATTTTCACTTGTGGTAATTATGAAATCTTTTCAGATATTAAAGATAAAAGAAAAGTTTTTAAATTTAAGACGAGATTTGTGAATATTGTGTTTTAACATTTTGATTTTTCTGTCTTGTTGATAAACAAATTTGTTCATGTTTATGAAATATTGGATTGATTTACAGGTAACTAGTGACTATGAAAGGTACATCAAGGGATATGAGTATGTAGCAGATGTTCTAGCTCAGTGGGAAATGTAAGTTGGACCTTAAAAACACGAAATACAAAAAGATCCTTGTTTTGTTTATTGCATTGGATCACATTACAGAAAACCTGATCATTTCTAGTGTTAAAGCTTAAGTTGTTAAATATATGAACATATAAAAAGAAGCAAAAGGTAAGATATGTTGATTGTTCTTCTGATTTTGCTTTGCTCACCAGCTGTATTTATATAAATGTACCAAAAAATATTACAATTGTTTTCTCAATTTCAGCCATGAAAGGATGTCCTCCATTCCTAAGAAATACGAAACTGTATCAAAGAAAGGCCCAAAAATGGCAATAGGGGGCTCTGATGCAAGGCTGGTATTTCGCAAACGTGTATACAAACACATCCATGACATTCCAAATGACCCTGTGGAGTACCGCCTGCTGTATGCTGAGGCTGTCAACAAAGTGATACGAGTAAGTAGACAGATGGAATAGTGTTCCTGCTGTATATGTGATGCTTTTTGAAACAAAAACCATTTTAAATGGTCATTCTAGGTCATTCTGCATTTTATCCTGCATAGAAAACTGTTTCACATCTTATGCATCTTAAACTTCTGAAACATGATATTTTCACCTTGTTATCAGGATGAGTTTCCAGTGTCAGACAAAGTGGCATTGCAACTGGCAGGCCTCCAGGCTCAGGTGGTTTGTGGGGAATATGAGGAAGGCAAGGACTCCAGGTACACTTCTTACTGACAAATGGTCACCATCATTCACTGCTTGGCAGTCATTAGTCTTGACACTCTGTTGGAGAAACTCAGTAATAATTTCCTCAGAGCGTTTTTTCTGTTATATGATTAAAGTTTATTTTCATTCAGTAATTTTGATATTTGACAATATACAACTTGAGCAGGTATTAACTTCTACAACATTTTTATCACAAATCAATTTACCTTTTAAGCTTTTCTAGTTTTGCCAATGATACTTCAAATGAAATCAAGTTGTATAGACTCCTGATGCAGTGTTTCTTATCCTAGGTATGTGGAAGTAGAGCAGTACCTTTGTGAGAGAATCCTTAACTTACCAGGGCGTGACTGGTGTGAAGAAGTGGCCTCTGCCCACAGGGTATGTATCACCCACTGATCACAATCGGGAAAATGTTTACAAATATTAATATATCCATATCAGATTAATTGAGTTCTGCATGAAATAGTACTTTGCTCACTGCAGTGGTGCATCCAGTGGGCTCTGTAGTGGTACATCTAGTGGATTCTGCACTGGTGTCTCCAGGGTGTGTTTACATACTTTATTAACGTCTGTAAATATCACTAGAAGGTGGCCACAGAAGCATCATCTCAGATGCCAGTAAGAAAGAGGAACAGTTTTTGTTTCCTCTACATTTAGACCCTGATTGTGTCAAGGCAGAAATAGTTTATCATGGCAAATTTTGCAGATAAATCACAGACACAACCCTTAAATTGTCAAATAAGAACATTAAGTTTTAAAAAAGAAAGCGGTTATATTGAAGAATCCTAGTATATACAAGATATAAATACCTCACTGGCATTTTTGTTATTTTGCAGCACTTTGGACGTGGTAAGACCGAGTTGGAAGCTCAAGTATGGTACATCACCTGTGTCAAACAGTTTCCACTCTATGGCTGTACACTGTTCCCCATTGTACATAAAGGTCTCTGGTCACACACCAGTGATTCCATCCTTGCTATCAACATGGACGGCATCAAGTTTGTCAAGGCCAGGGATAAATCTGTAATTCACGCATTCACATACTCAGACATTGAAACCATCACCATTGACCCCAATGATAATTATATAACATTAGAACTAAAGAGTTCTATCGAGGGAGATTGTCAACAAAGATGTTTTGTATTTGAGACTAATCAAAAAGAAGACATAGGTCATCTGATAGCAAGCTATTCTCCAAACCATGCATCCTGGCTGAAACCTGAGTATGAGAGCTTAAAGAGGGTAAGTAAATTGAACCAAAGAATGTGTACATCTATGTATAGATTTTATATAAATGATGTGCCAAACTAACTGACATCAAGTTAAGTTAGAAAAAAAAAGAGTTGATTAGCATAATGAAAATTTAGTAATGGAAAAAATAATAATAACTGCTAGTAAACCCAAAAATGGAAAAAAAAATACCAGAAGGAAGTTATCATGAATGACGAATGAACCTACAATGTGAGTCAAAATAGAGAAAATTTTAGAAAAACAGAATTACTTCACATAAACATTCAGTAAATATATGTAAACCTTAACAAAAGGTTTATAATCTGCAGAGAGTAACAAACCTTGTTAAGGATGAGTAAACACAATCAACAGGTGATCAAAACAATAGAAAAGATGAGAATTCAAAATTAATGAGTCAACTAAGGCAAAGAATGAGTCAGCTAAGGCAAAGAATGAGTCAAGCTGTTAGAAAAGAGCAAATCAATGAGAGAATCAAGCTGAAACCAGAGTGAGTAAACTTTATCAAAGAATTGATCAATTGAGCAAGGAGTTAGACAAACCAAACAAGTAAATAAAGTTAGCATAGGAATCAGAGTTATTGACAATAAAAGTGAAATAAGTAACAAAAGGATGAGTGAACCTAAAAATTTCACATCATACCGGTATGTTAACTATTACACGACTGTCATACAAGCCTTTAGTGAGAGTTATTTCAAAGTGACAGTCTTAGGTACCTCTAAATTTCTTATACATGGTGAGATTGTCTTTGATGTGTGCTCTGTACGTTACAGTCGAAGTTGACAGATGAGGAGAAGCTGAAGCTGTACGAGGAGCTGGTGCGGTGTAGGCGCCAACTCTTTGACAGCCGACTCTTACATCGTCCTGCACAGTCAGGTAACACTGGCTTCCTCAGACAGTCCATCAGAAAGTAAGTACAACTCTAATGTGCCACTTTTATTTCGATCTGATTTATTTTATAACAAGTTGAAAGTCTCTGGAACTATCTTTTAGGAGATTACGTATGCTAGTTGAAGTATTAAAAATTTTCTTTGACACATTCTTAATTAGATGTTTTTAGAAATTTAGTACTCTGATAAAGTCCAGGTCTGTACAACTATACTTGAAATGAAAGAAAATGTTTTACCATTTTGAAAGGCAGTTACTTCTATCTTGATACAGACCTCCGACTGGGTTGATTGGTAATAAGATTTTATATCATTGTCAAATGATATGTAATTACAGGCTGACCAAGTCTAAGCTGGACCGACTGAGGAGCTCCTCCATGTCAAATCACTTTGATGTGAGCTATTGGTCTTACAATAAGACAGCTCCAAAACAGGCACTCACTGTAATTGCTGACCCAGCCATAGAGGAGCTTGCCATCAAGATGTTCAACTCGATCCTCATCTTCTCTGGCCTGGAGGAGACAGGTGTGTAACTTTGCCGTCTATATTGTCTCTCTTTTTAAGCTGTTTTTAAAATTCTGTCATAGTAACTTCATGACTGGACCCAAAATAACTAATATACTGATTCCTCACTTTTTTTCAAAACAGAAAAAGAAGAAAAGCCAGATTATTATGGGATGGTTCAGAGGTTGATGCAGAAATGCCTAGAAAATGACCAGTTATGTAATGAATTTTTCCTGCAGCTTGTAAAACAGACTACAGATCATCCAGGTAAGGTTTTCACTCGAGTCCAGTCTCTGAAGACCACAATGTATAATTATATTACATGTCTATTTCTTGGGATGTCCCAGGCATAGCTATGGGTCAACATCATTACATGTCTTTCACAGGTGGGGATGTCCTATTACTCACTGTGATTTCCCATTCTGGTATGTCTCATGTGAGAGGACATCCTTGGCCTCACTGTGTGGTACATATGTCTGTCTGTACCCTACCACTGTCTAGCTGTACCATACCTATTGGGAGTAAGCCCACTCAAATAAATGCTTATCATTCATCTGATATATAGTTGTTTTTTCCAGTATTTTAAAAGTTAAATTTCCTTGTATACGCATTTAATGTTTTAGGTGAAAGACTAGTTAGAAGATAATTGTTAGAAATATCCAATCTGTTCAGACAGATGCCATTGGTTAGCTGCCATGTTTTCATGATATTACAGGTTTGTTCTTCCAAAGCTTAACCATGTGTTTGGCTATGGCATAATTTCTGATTTTATAGTACATAGACGAAAGGAAGATAATACTGAGTTATAAACAAATGTAACAGGTACTGGGATCATACTTGGTGCACAAACTTGTATGTAGCACAATCACTTTGGGTCTTTATAAGGTGTTAAATGTCCTTCTCAAGGCTTTGATGTAATAACATACAGTGTTGACATTGTTTAAAGGTTATACAGAACATAAGTTCAGATCACGAGGTGAGTTTTCATTTGGCTAGTGCTGTGTGGCAGGCACTTGGAACACTATTGTCAATGTGTATCTTCAAGAGATTTGAAAAGAATATTGTAAATGTGTTTGTTTAGTAAGATTTGCTAATAGACACAGTATTGTCAATGAGTGTCTGGAGAATGTACTGGATAATGCTACTTATATAAAATTTGAATATGGATATTTCAAAGCAAATCTTACATATATGGTCCATGATATTATATACATTCACTGGATTTCTGTCTTCAGCTTCAATGCTGTATGCTTCTATCTTTATGCGTATGATTTAATGTTAAGGGTGGGTGTTTCCGTTACAGGCATGGGCTTATTACCCGATACTTATGGTATTTACACAAGCATGGAATGTCATGTGATGTTGTATATTGTGGTTGTGTTATGTGTTGTAAAAAGCACAATGATTGTAACACTTGCTGAAAACTTTGCATGTATCCTCTCCTGTTATGAAAACACCTTGATACTTTGATATTCAACATTTTGCCTGGACTGGATATTTGCAGCATGCTGCATGTATTTGTAAGGTAAACATTGTAAGTGTATTTCATCAACAGCACAATATAACCATAACATATTGTCACTTTTCAAAGGACTAAAACAAAATTCTTCAGCTATAGAAGGATAGTTTTAGAAAAGTAACACATGACCATCTGATAGGTGTAGAATGGTAGAAAACTGATATTAGAAAAGTTACATGAGCCTGTTTGAGGAAATACAATATGTGTTATATGTTGTGTAGATGTGTGGTGATAAGCATGTGTAGCCTTGTTTGATATGTAGTAGTAGTACCTTTGTTAGTACTGTTGTAGGTGCATGATATGTATGATGTGTTGTTTATTGGCAGGCAAAGGGTATGATCCTTACAAAGTTGTCACCCGTCTTGGTAAGGCTAAGTCCTCACTGATAGCTATGGCTACAGGATACTGCGCTTTTGGAAATATATCTTCCAGCCAGCACAAGGTTGGAAACTTGTGCGAACATTGTACGTAGCGCTATACTCGCTTTGTAGATTAGTTACACTTAACAACGCTGGCTCCCTGGCAAGGTCATACACTAACCTTAGATGATTCTGGGTGTGGTTCAACCATTTATGATAAAGGGAAGTAAGCATTAATGTCATGCACATAATACAGATTTATGAAATTATATGGACTTAATAGTTTTGAAATAGGTTTGGACTGCCTGCTTGGTTTTTTTGGTTCTCATTATGAAAAATTCAAAATGAAATCACACTATATCCTTATGGATTTACATTAATTGTAAATATTCTAGTTATTAAAATACTGTTAAGGTTATTTTGAAGTTCTATATTTTCCCTATTTTCAAGGATGGAATGAAATCATAAAAAAGTAATTTGAAGGAAAATATCCATAATGACTTCCATGAAAAATGAATCTTTTTAGTAAAATAAAAAAATACAAAAAATTATCCTTTAAAGTAAAACAAAATACTTACATTACTGACAGACATTGGTAAATAGTCTTACATTACTGATACACATTGGTAAATAGTCTTACATTACTGATACACATTGGTAAACAGTCTTACACTACTGACAGACATTGGTAAATAGTCTTACATTACTGATACACATTGGTAAACAGTCTTACACTACTGACAGACATTGGTAAATAGTCTTACATTACTGATACACATTGGTAAACAGTCTTACATTACTGACAGACATTGGTAAATAGTCTTACATTACTGACAGACATTGGTAAATAGTCTTAAATTACTGACAGTCATTGGTAAATAGTCTTACACTACTGACAGACATTGGTAAACAGTCTTACATTACTGACACGTTGGTAAATAATGTTACATTACTGACACACATTGGTAAATAGTCTTACATTACTGACAGACATTGGTAAATAGTCTTACACTACTGACTAACATATATATGTAAGTTAACAAGATTTGTGTGTGTGTGTGTGTGTGTGAGTGCGTGCGAGTGCGTGCGTGCGTGCGTGCGTGTAATTATACAAAACTAAGTACAGAAATAAGAACATATATATAGTATATTGTGTGTGTGTGTGTGTGTGTGTGTGTGTGTGTGTGTGTGTGTGTGTGTGTGTGTGTATAAAGACGAAAGTTTTCGTTTTTTTGTGCACTGCGTTGCCTCTGGTGTGGTTTAGATGCTTTGTCATGCATTTATGCATATTGTAAGGAATATTTGTATTGATTTAAGCAAGCAATGCTTTAGTAGTCAAAATATTGTATCTATTAAAGATGGGTTCTGTTATTTTTGTTGATACGTTATGGTGGAAAAAGATAACGAGAATCTCCCCTGGCACTCATTATATTTTACAACAGTGCAGAAATTTGGATTATCATATTAAAACTATGAACCTGATAAAAGTAATCTTGTATGAGTCAAAGAGCTACAAGATGGATTTAGTTTGGACTTATGATATCTAGTGCAGTTACTACAATGATTAATTAATTAATTATTAATTAATAGATTCTTTATACCACAGAAAAGTGGTCACCTTTTTCATACTGTTGATAAGTGTTGCAAAGTGCAATACCGTTTCTTCATATTCAAATTGTTATAATACGTAATCGTTACAAAAAAAAATCATCATGAATCCATATTTAATATATGTATCATCATCTCACTGCTAAGTATGAAGGAAATCTATTGTACTGTAGTCACAGATCAACAGTAAATAGGAAGTAGATTCTACAACTCACTATGTTCAATTGGTATCAGAGCTATTACATGTACCAAATGACTGTTCAACTTTGTTTACCAAATTCAGTATGAGAATAAGTCTTGTCCAATTGAACATTAATTCTGAGCATTTGAAATCAGGTGACTTAACTAGATATGAAAACAATTCCCAGAAATTCCACCCTTTACTTTTACCCCTTCTCCAAACATCAATACAAATATATATGTTACATCCCTTAACAAGGATAGAGTTAGCATCTGTTGCTATGAGGCAACAATAATTGTATGTATTGAAAAAGAAAAAAAATCTGCTTAATTATGTGCCTGTATATTGGTGTGTGTGGAAGTGGGTTGTTAATACTAACATAATCATATAAAAAAAACGTTGAATTTAAAGTTTAACATGTAACTACTCTAGACATTTTATTTATCTGTACTATAAAGAAGATTATGATGTGAAATATTGTGTATATCATTATTGGTGAAACACCTTGTTAGGCTTAGCCTTAGTTTTACACCAGACAGACAAGCATTTTTATCTCCTTACTGTAGACAAACTATATTTTACTTAGAAAAATTACAATGGTTATTTGAGTTCTTTTGGATGAAGGAGGTCTTTGTTTTAATTAGACGTTTTATTTTGTATCTTAATACCCTATCTCATTGATGTATTGGGAGAAAATATGTATTAACATGCTACTAACACTATACATCATTGATTTGTCTGAAGTCTTTAACACTGTAAATCATTGACATGTTGGAATCTGGAATCATTCTTTTGTGCTTGAGTTTATTTTCATTAATTCCACTGGATATCTAGAATAATATCTATGTAATATTGATTTGTAATTTTTCTGTTTTGATTATTTCTGTCCAACATTGTCACACTGATGCATGATACATTGTACCTGTCTTTATTGATTGAATCTTTAATGTAACTCATGATACTGTCTGTTAGTGTCTACTAGTTAACCCTTCAATACTAAAAACTGTTATAGTACCTCTCTTACTCATGTAGTCAAGTTATATGAACTGATACTTTCTGAGATATATTGTACATAATGGTAAATTGAAATATCAGTTCATTTTTGTGATACAGATCCAAACAGTCAGGTGAATCGGAGAAACTGGCAACTGATGGCTGTCACTGTAAGTACAGTGTTCCCTACCAATAATCGTGTGCAGAAGTATGTGCAGTGTCATCTACGCAAGTGTTCCTTGGACTCGACCACAGATGAGGGGCGTTTTGCCAGGTTCTGTCATAAGGTCAGTAAACTTCAAAGTAGATCTTGGGCATGTTCCAATTCAAAGACATTTTGCTACTAATGTTGATAATTATCCTCCTAATGTTTATGATATCAGGATCTTATTTTTTTCTTTCTTTCTTTTTTGTCGTTTTCAGCTGTAAACTTAAGTAAAACATCAGCTTGAAGAGTGATCCTTGCACTAGAGAGTGTTATGCTATTGATCTGTGAAATAATGATTGCTATATGTTGTAGTGTTTGACCAGGACTACAGAGAAGAAGAGGAGAAAGTTCCCTCCCTCTAGAAAGGAGATACAGTCTCTAACAGAGAGGTGAGCTCAAACAGTTGTTGATAAAGAAGTGGACAATGAAGTCGTAAAGTCCACAGTTAGTTACTACCATTGAAATATTTAATCAACAGTCAACACAAGTCTACACAAGGTAGTGCTTGTTTACCAAAGATTGAGGTGATTTTTTTTAATACTTGAAAAATATTCTTTTCAATAGGCGACCAGTTCATGAAAGAGTGTACTTTATGAATGGGGAGCACCGAAGTGTAGAATTTGATTCTGCTTCAACATGTAGTGAGGTAAGTCATCATACATCCTTTTCTACATCTAATCTACATTAGAACATTGATAAAGCAAATACTAAGTGATTAAAATCATTCATCTAGTACATATTTAAAGAAGGACTTGGATCTTATTAGTCACACCTAAAGGCATCTGATTTTAATGTCTGTAGAAATCAGATTTAGAATATTATATGTGTAACTACATTTAATTGGCATTATTTAAATTACATGTTTGAAATCTCCAACAGATCAATTTAACAATTTAAACCCAAAAATGTTGTAATTTTGATAATTTAAGTGTCACACTGTACAATGTTGCAAGACATTGTGATTGAAATCTTGTTTCCATATCTTCAGCTGATAAAAGTAGTCAAAGCCAAAATAGGAATGAGGTCGGATGCTGAGTGCTTCTCACTCTACGAATATGTGGGAGGTTCTGGTGAGTATCAGTTTAACAATTTATTGATTTAGACATTACCTAACACATTGATAGACTATTGTCGGAGAAGTCTGTAAGTTTTATAAACCACAAACCAAAGAGTGGGAACAGATAATATGTAAAGTTCTTCAAATTTCAAAGTGTTGTATTTTTTCTTTATCGCTGTTATTTATGAATTGGATTAAGTATCGTGATAATCTGGGGTTCATACTATATCATTGTAATGTCATATCATCTTATTACCCCTCTTGTTTAATTACCTTGATGTCAATGTACTTGTAGAAAGGAACATGTATCCTGAGGAACGACTTTCTGACATGCTCAGTAAGTGGGAGAGGTTGGCCCACAGCACCAACATCAGAGATTTCCGGATTGTGTTTAAGGTAGGCATTTACAGAGATTTCAAATAGTGTTTAAGGTAGGCACTTACAGCAATTTCAGATATTGTTTAAGGTAGGCACTTACAGAGATTTCAGATAGTGTTTAAGGTAGGCACTTACAGAGATTTCAGATAGTGTTTAAGGTAGGCACTTACAGAGATTTCAATAGTGTTTAAGGTAGGCACTTACAGAGATTTCAGATAGTGTTTAAGGTAGGCACTTACAGAGATTTCAGATAGTGTTTAAGGTAGGCACTTACAGCAATTTCAGATATTGTTTAAGGTAGGCACTTACAGAGATTTCAGATAGTGTTTAAGGTAGGCACTTACAGAGATTTCAGATAGTGTTTAAGGTAGGCACTTACAGAGATTTCAATAGTGTTTAAGGTAGGCACTTACAGAGATTTCAGATAGTGTTTAAGGTTGGCACTTACAGAGATTTCAGATAGTGTTTAAGGTAGGCACTTACAGAGAATTCAGATAGTGTTTAAGGTAGGCACTTACAGAGAATTCAGATAGTGTTTAAGGTAGGCACTTACAGCAATTTCAGATAGTGTTTAAGGTAGGCACTTACAGAGATTTCTGGATAGGGTTTAAGGTAGGCACTTGCAGAGATTTCCAGATTGTGTGTAAGGTAGGCACTAACAGAGATTTCTAATAGGTTTTTAAAGATTTCTTTAAAAAATATTTCCCAGTGGAATCAAATCAAATGTTTTCAAAATATTGATGTTAATGAATAAATTTTCTATGAAATACCTTCAGAATGCACCCTACATCCACCCACTAGATATTGTTTGATCTTTACATAGAGTACAATGTATTGATGTTATGTTGCTTATAGAAACGTCTGTTCATCGACCCATACATCAACCCACTGGATCCTGTTGAGTGTGACCTTGTCTTCCACCAGCTTATAGAGGACATGTTTGAACACAGACTTCCACTCTCCTCTAAAGATGCTGTAAGTTCATGTCTTTCTCCTCACAATGTATTGGGATGATAACATTGAATTATGGTTTCATCAGAATAACATTTAATTTGCAGATTTCTACATCATGTTGCTTTTTCCTATCAAACACCAACAGAGGTCAGGTTAAATTGTTTTCTCAACTAAAATGGCAGATGTTTGAATGCAGTTACAAATTTAAGGTTTAGAAGAATTTTACAATTTGGTGTCATACGGTTTGATTGATATATATATCTTAACTTCTTTAGGTCCAGCTATGTGCCTTAAAGATTCAATCTGAGATGGATGACATGAAATGTGCTGAAATTGACTACAGGTGAGCATCAGAGACAAGAAACCAACATATATATTTATACTATAGTTATCAAACAATTTGGTAGAAATCAAATAGGATGCAAACAGATTTCAAATTCATTCTCCAAAAATATTAGTTATCATATCCTGGTAGTAATCAAATACAATGCTGTTTACCATCAGTTCGGTGATCCGTATCCTACCACGAGACATGCGCACAGAGGTGAAGGTTGAGGACATAGCAGTGGCCCACAAGGCAGTAATGAACATGACACCTGGCCAAGCCATGCTCGCTTTCATTGAGCTGCTCAAGTCCTGGCCACTGTTTGGGGCCACCATCTTCCAAGTATTCGTGAGTATCGGGATCACTTAGTCCTCATCATTTGAATAGACAGAATAGTATGATATAGGAACAGACCTTAGGTTGATATAGTGTTGTAGAGTAATCAATCAAAGTTTTTCAAGTCAATAAATAAATTTTACATGACTGCCTTCTGTCCTGAAGATTGTATCAAAGGTGATGGGGGATATTCATATTGATAAAAAGATTAAAATTTTGACTGATTTCGGTCTTTTTCAGAATTTCACCCCTTTTGACTCTATAAGTATCTGTATTGTGTATATTATATCAGACATTAACTTAAGATATTTATCATGATCAGTAACCAAGTTTTGATACTTACATGAATATTTTATTTTTTTTTGTTTACTAAATGGTTTATCTTATTTTAGCAAAATTACACCTCATCGTTACCCAAGAACATGCTGCTGGCAATCCATCAACGAGGAATCCATATATTAGAGATCATCAGTTTTGTAAGTTGTTCATTCTATATCCTAGATATTATAGGTGCCAAATGATAATTGTTTCAAATGATCACTTCTGATAAGTCATACATGTATTACAACAAATAATGGGTAAGTTTAGCATAACATTATCAAATTTCAAGTTATCCTCATGTTACGATGGAATGCAACACCTTATTTTCAAGCAATATTAAAAGTGGATAATCTTGATTTTTTATTAGACTTGTTCGATTGCCGAGCTAGATTTTATCACATATTTATGATTATAGAAACTTTCCAGTAGATATGGATATTATTGTACAGTTATTGTAAAGTCAAATATTTTAAATGGATACTTCAACAGCCAGAATCAGATTATCATGACTGTTTCGTTTACAGAAACTGATTGCCTCATACGAGTTCTCAGAAGTAGTCCATTCTAGTCCTTCAATGAAGAGCATCATGATCATAGTTGGCCATGTTGCCAAGGGCAACAAATTCATGTTCAGTACAAATCAGGTAAGTTTGTTGTAACTGCCTTCAGTAACACTGGACTTTTCAATGCGCCTATACATGATTAGAAAATAAATGATTTCTACATTTTGATATTGTGACTATTTTTGATAAACTCATGGAATGATAAATAAAAAAAGGTCTTAAAGTAAGACACTTTCTTTCTTTATTTTTTTAGGCGTTTGAAATTGCTCATCTCATTAAGGACTATATTGAGGAACTACAGGCAAGGTTTCTTATCTTACCTCGAAGACAAGAGAACACACTTCATGACATGAATAGGATGTCAGCTGTCTTCTTTGATGACTCACCTACACAGATCATACAAACTCTTGTGTGATGGATCATTTACAAATCATACAAGCTCTTGTTGGATAGAATCATTAACACAGATGATGACAGATCATACAAACTCTTGTATGATAGGATCATTAACACAGATGATGACAGATCATACAAACTCTTGTATGATAGGATCATTAACACAGATGATGACAGATTATACAAGCACTTGTAAGACAGGATCAGTTATACTGATCTTGTATATTGTTTGGAAGGATTTCCTATGTAGATCTTGCAGACTTGTTTACTTGGTGTTTCTAGGATTTACCAACAAAAGTAGGAAGAACTGTATAATATCAAGGATCAATCTCTTTTATGATAGAAAGGGACCTGATACAACATGATAGAATTGTAAAGCAAATGTTGAGCTCATACGCAATGTTTTGTGTGTAAACAAGGCTGTCAGATTCTGTACATATTATCATACAGACTCTTGTGTGATATAAAGAAACATAGGAGAGTTTCATAAGGATTGAAAGAAATCTTGTATGTATGTTTAGACTAAAAGAGGAGGAGAGTAAAATCTCTATTCAGACAGATCATGGGTGATAAAATGTGCAATAGTTAGACTTAATGGCAGAATCTCTGTTTGTGATAGGAAGATCTGGGAAAACGATCTGCTGTTTATCCAGAATGTGTGTGATATAATGTAGATGATTCAAGGAACATTTTCTAAGAGAAGTGTCCTGTAAACTCCTCTGCTGAGAGAAGAACGTGTTTATGGATATACTGGTAGAATGCCCACAGGTGGGCCAGAGTGCTGCGTCTGAAGTTTTGTGATATATGTGGAGCAGGGAACAACGGATATGCAATGACACTGTGTTACTCCTGTCTTATGCAATATGTAAAGGCACGCCCACCTAAAATGTTACCATTTGCCTCCATATAGCGGTTGTAGTGTCCAGTACATAGTCGTATGTGAAATATATATCTGGTGAATCAAGCCTACTGTATTGTAGTGTTAGTACAGAAATAAACTATCCCAAACCTAATGATACAAGTAGCAAAACAATTCAACCCTGCCAAATTTTATTTCAGTAGAAGAATACTTAGGAAATCATATTAAATCTTACTTGCATAGGTCATAATATACAACATGTTGTAATAAGCATAATATCAAAGTTTTACATAAATCTTAAACTATTATTATTATTCAAATGAAAGGAATAGTAGATATGTGCTTAATGTTAATTTTATTTCTCAATTTTCCTAAATACAAGTATAATCAAATTGCTCATATTAAATGTTCTGTCAGTTTACCAGGAGGTGGGATGCTTTAAGATGTACTTCAAAATCAAAATATCAAATCTATTTTATGACTAAATATATGTATTCTTTCACAAATGTGAGAAAAATGGCAGGAGAACAAAATGTAATTCAACAACAAAATGGCAACCTTTATAAACACAGCTGATTTTGACGTCGTGTGGTGCTCTTAGGACCAGTAGGCTCTGTTGCCATTGACCAGGCTAACGTGTCCCGAGATATTTTATGAAACTATTTACTGCATATGTACATTTTATAGTGTAATCTTTTGCCAGTACTTACCTAGTCACTTTTTGTTTTTATAAAATTATCTGTCTTGTCTACAGTTTGATCAGCAATACAATTCATATTTTAGACTTATTTAAAAAGAATTCTTTTGTACAATGTATTCATTTGCTTTGAAATAATTTCTGAATTACTCAACATATGTGTCTTTCATTGTATATTACTAACTTGTTTATCATAATTGTGTGACACTGGAAGTTACCTTTGATAATCAGTGTAAATCAAAGTTATCTCCATTATCAAAATTGCCATATACATATATTGATATCCAGAGGCCACACCAGATGGCGAATAATGTTTGACTAGTCAGCTAAAATCGAGATCAAAAATACGAAATTTCATGTCGTCATTGTTGATCGTACAGTTAAAATTTTCGTGTAGATGTCTCACTTGATTGGTTATAACTGTATACATTGTTTCTTTGCGAATATTTTACTTTTGATAATAATTTCATACTATGTTTTTAATATGTTGTATGAATTTTTCAACATGGTGTGTTGATAGTAATTCTGTATGTTGTGTAGATTATATTTCCAACAAAATACACTGTATTTATCTGATAAAAAGCCTATGCCCAGTATTAAGCCAAGGATCAGAATACGTTTTTTGGGGAATATACTCATCTGAAAAGGGAGAAGCATTTTCTAGGCGGAGAAGAAAATTCTTTGTATTTAATTTTGTTGCAAATTGAAAAAGTGAAATGTGCATAAGTCCAAATATTTCTGTATCAATTGACATAATATCAGTACTTCTAAGTATTTCAAACAAATTTCTCATGAAATACCATTTGTATCGGTCAATTCATATTTTACACAGGAAATCATGTGTTAGGAAGTTGTGTTTCAAAAAGAGGTAAATTTTAAAGTTAGGGATTTTTTTTTGTGAAATATTAGAAGGGACTTTTACCAGTTATCAGAAAAGAAGTTGGCCGCACTTTGTTCCTGGAAATATAACCAACCAAGGCTATTTTTTAGGCTTTGATAAGCCATCCCCTGATTTTTAATTAGAAGATGTATGTTAACTTTTTGTAAGATAAATTTGGTGTGGTCAATACATTACTGTATATGTGTTGATGACTTTTCATGTGTTTCATTGGCTGAGTGACATTCCACCCCCATGTATATGTGAAGGACTGGATGATGTACCATATATAGACAAGATCTGGTCCTCTGGTTCAGGATGTAAATACTGTTTATGTGTGGAAGTTCTTGTATTGAAAGGTAATAAAAGATATCGCAGACAAAGATAATAGAATGTAAGTGAATGTAAGTGTTAAAGTGTTAACTGTATATGGATATCTGCCCATTTTGTCACAGTTTGTATGTGAGTATACATTGAGATTTGTTGAAGCAGTTTCTTAGTGGATGGCTTTCAATATTGGTATATATGGATCTGAGAATTTTTAGATTATTTTCATGCAATTTTTAATTTGCAGAATCATTAATGAATTCTCTATCACAACAATGTACTGTATTCATGAAAATTTCTGTGAGTGATATTTGTACTTTACATATTTGAATAATACAGCAAAATTTAGTTTAGACACAAATTCATTTGTAAGAGCGATGCCAGGTACATTGCTAGGTGTATCAACTAATCTAACTTGTCCAGAATATGACAAAGCTGTTTTAGTCACTGCATTTGGTTAATTATCAGACCAGATTTCATTCTGTTTACAAGACTTGATCATCTGATTGTGCAATGTTGACACTTTAGGTGTCATATGATAATCATTGGAAAGTTGTAATATACATTATGATGTACATTTTGTAATAAGCATAATATCAAAGTTTTGCACGAGTTTTGAAAGGGTTATTATTCAAATGTCAGAAATACTTAATACATATGCTCACAATGTTAGTTTAATTTTCCTATATACAGGTACAAGCCAGATTTCCATGATGAAGTTGTGGAAAATAACACTGCTCAGAAGCTGCAGAAACTACTTGATGCATGTGAATTCTGTTAAAATCTGTTTTAATGTAGATCAAAGCTAACAGATGTAAACTTTTTAACACAATCAGAAACAATATTTGGTTTAGTGATATTTGTTTAGGAGTACCGATATCACAGAATGCTGCTGATTAGTGAACAATCATCTAATTTTATCATTAAGGAATCTATGGAATTTGTTTTGTTTCTTAAGAAATAAAAGTGTGATTGTTCAGTTAATGAGAATGGTCAATCAATGACAAGCAGAGTAGAATTTGATACTTCTGTACATCAGCTATTGTATTTAAATTGAAATGTGCAATAATGTGACTCCTGCATTTCTCAGCTGTAGGTTCATAATTCAAAGCATATATAACTTTGATCAATATACCTATATTTTATATCAAGAGTTATCTCCCTGCACAAAATTTATTCAGCATACTCTTCTTTGATAACACATTTTACGTGAGTTACCTGTTTAAAATTATTTTCTTTTTGTTGATTTCATATAATGATCAATTGATTTTGTTTCGCAGTAAATCAGCTGAAATGCAGTTTTTGTTGAATTCATGAAAACAAGCTCATTTCATTCCCTCTACAAGAAGAACCACACAAGTATTCAGTCCCTAAATTTCGATATTCCTTGTCAGCTGTTGTTTAAGTCTTAGACACTTGATTCTGACTGAGTTATAAATACAAAACCAGTCCATCAGTACCTATTATCATTATTATAAATACAAGAATATAACGTACAGAAAAAAGTGCATTTTTGATTTATTTTTACCTGTACAATATATAATATTTCAAAAACTGTAGTTATAGTGACATATTGATATTGGTTTAATGGAGTACATTTAGATTTAAATTATTACTTAAATGGCATATCTATTTGTTTCAATGGAAGTCGATCAAAAGTAGAAATTACAGCTTAATATATTACCAAGCCAGTCTAAATCAGCATTCAAAAATTATTTTTTAAGTTTCTCACTTTGAAAGAGGATAGATTTGACAAATATATGACAAGTATAAGTTTGGGTGAGGGGGTTCCTAGCACAAGTTACTGAAATAAGATGTGTTAGTTTTACAAGAGATGTACATTGAGGGGTATTAGACACTTAGCCCACTTGATAGCTGTATCTTTACATCTCTTGTCAACCTGATTACCCTTCACATACATCTCTTGTTTAATTGACTTCAGAAGAGAGGTGCATTGATTTGACTTGTATGCTTTAATCTGACAGAGGAGTCACCAGCTATATTTATATAACTGTTTTATATATATATATATATTGTTTACATAACTTATGCATTTAATGAGAGAATGATGTTGAAACTGTATAACTGAGGAAATCTCTGTAAATAAATGTCTATCATTATTACCAATATTATTTGTTGTAGTGCCAAAACTCCTGGGGAGATGACATTCACTAACCATATAGTTGCCTTATTTAATTGATGTTTAGAATGTGGACATTGCTTCAAGATATAAAATATATGTAATCAAATAATTCTGTGTTCTGCGGTTTGTTTTTTACTCAGTTATTGGAAAAAAATATAATACAGCTAGACAAATAATTACTATAAACTTTATTTTTATTAAAACAGTTATACATTAATTTATTCTAATTTATGTTCATGGAAGCATGGAAAGGGTATGTATGGTGACTATGGGGCTAGGTCACCTCCCCATCCAGATTTTCACATTTTCATCTCTTTTGAATTTCCTCAGCCATCTCCTATGCATCAAAACTGAAGTTCTTGGCATCAATGATGTGTCCTGAGCAGAAGAAACAGCTGTATGATGTAGTTTAATTTGGCTCTACTGTATCTAACTTTAAATTTTTATTTAAAGGTGCTACTTCTGTTTCTTTTGTATAATCTTCCAGATTGCATGTGGTACACACTGTTAGTGGACTTTAAGTACCACAGATCTGCAGTAACCTGCATGCCACATACTAATTCATTTAAATAGTGGCACAGTCCAGAATATACACATGTACACAATGCTCTAAAATTATCATCTGCATGAAATTTACTAAATTCATTGACTTATGGGACTGCTGCACCTTCCTATCTAGATTTTGACATCTCTTTTGATCACTTTGGATTTTTAACTTTAGGCCCTTAGCATCACTGATGAGTGCTAGAAGGAAACAGCATTAAGATACAGTTTAATCCACTGTTTGGCCCTACTGCTTCGGACTCTTAATTATCCTCTACAAAACACGTTTGCGGGGATATTAACTTTGGCTCCCTGCTCGTTTGGATCAGAAGGATTATCCAGGCAGTAACTTCAAAAACAGAACTTTCTGTATATATTAGGTTAGTGCTCTAGTTTTTGCCTTTAGCTTATGACATTTTCTTTTTTTTTTTCTGTTACCATGGAAACATAAAACCGCAAAATCAGTGTTAATTTTCCTAGTGCGCTAGTTGTGCCTTTTGCTATTATATTTTTTTCCTGTTACCTTGGAAACATAGTCAAAACACACTAAATTAGTGTTAACTTTTGGGGTACACATTTGAAACCATTCTACTCAACTCCACAAAATTTCAGTATATATTAAGTTAGTGCCCTAGTTAATTTGTTTTTTTCCTTCTACCATGGAAACAGATAATCCTCATCACAAATTTCATTTGTTCTGGACCGTGCCCTGAAACCGTTCCAAGATAATTGCTCAAAGGTTTTTACACTTATTAAGCTACTGGTATCTTTTGTCATGGGGAAGTTCTCTATTTAAATACTTTCTCTATTACCACGAAAAAGATCACATAGCTCAGTTTTTTTCTGACCAGTTCTCTAAAACCATACGAGGTAATTAGCTGGTACTCAAAACTTTGTACAATACTCTAGTAAAAGTTCTCCATTTCAATTAAAAACAACAAATAGAAATTAAACATGTTGTAATATTAACATATATATATATATGATTGGGCATCTCTTCTTTAAACAGCCAAGGGGATAATGTCATGCTTTGCGTTATCTTTGTGTGTATGGTCTTCTTTGCTCGTGCTTGTACATTTTGATGTATGTAAGGCATCAATTAAATCAGGTTTCCATGACTTTAAAACAGAAGTTGACCCATTTTTTTCCCAATAAACTTTTATTGATAAAAAATGAGATAAAATCTCATAACAGTAAAAAGATTAACAGGTTTAATAACAATACTTTGTTCTGCTGTGTCAAACACCACTAAGATATAAATAATGGGTGTGTATATATTCGATGTCTGTCCAACACCAATCATTTGTGTGGTCATTCACCGCTAATGGAGGTTATTGCTCCCTTCCATAATTTTTTTCAATCTTTTCTGTGCAAAGCGTTTGGCTAACCTACAATGATAAAAATCAGTAATGATATCATACATTTGCCTTGTGACAACACACTGTCTGGTTGTGATCATGGCAATTCTATCATTTAAACATTGACTAAACTCCATCACTGTATGGCTGTTAGTCTGTGTCCCCGTAAAACCTCTAACTAATGTCCCCACAAGATCCTCTGATCAGTGTGAATTTATAACCTCTACTGTGTGTCAATATGACTGCGAACCTGTGTCCCTTTAACCTAAGGTCACTTCTGTGTAAGCGAAAAAACAGTTGAACTGGCTAAACCTGCAAGAGAATTGGTTGGTGGAGATTGGAACTGAGGCTGGCCTACAGCTTATTTAGCATATAAAATTTGAGTGGTCCAGCCATACTTGTCCAAAACTACCTTGATAAATATCATTAATTTTCAGAATTTCAGCATAAAGCATGGTTGGTTCACACTCATTTCTGAAAATGTTGCTATTGTTTAAAAGTAAAACCTGATGACCTTTTATTTTTGATGCATTGTTTTATGTTTGACAATAAATTTTTAATCTGTTCCAACATCTGGTACAGGTGCATTAATTACATGTGGTATTAATTTGTGCCACCTGAACTGTTTTAATGGGTTAAGCGTAACAGCCTTATTGTGTTCTTGCCACTAGATACAAGTTCAGATTACTAGAATATACATTTGACTGCAAGCAAATTTTTTATTCTCCCATTTACATCAAAAATCTATATTGATTTCATGTGCTTAAGACTTGATAATCTTCCAAAACCTTACCTGTGAAATATTCCAGGTAGATATTGGTTCATGTAAAGGAAAGATAACTCTGGATTTCCAGTAATCCAAACTTCATCTATGTTATTAGCCATAGCTACTGCCATAAGGTGAGCACATCGAGCTGCTGACATCCGTTTCTCCTCTGGCTTCATTGTCACACCTAATTTCTTCAAAAGAAGATCTAAATTTTTTTCAAATAAAAACTAAAAAAGAATCGAAAAGGAATAGGACCATAGTCTGCAGTAATCAGTTACACATACTTGTACCAGGAAGAGGTTGATAAAGAACATGTTGATATGGGAAACAATTATACCATGAACTACTACACATCAACATGAGAAAAAATTAATGATACTGACTGTATGCATTTGCATTTACACAGAAAAGTATAAGCATCCTAAACCATATTCATAATAATCCTATTTTTTGTAATAAAGTATAGTATGAATTACAATACCGATCAGAAAACTGAAGAGTGAATGTCTGAATCTTTAGATTAAACAGTATTTTACTGTATGAAACAACTTCAACACATTCCTATTTAATCAAATGGTAAAACAATATTTACGCTGATGTTTATTCCTTCTATGAATCTGGACATTCTACTAGACATACCTTATCAGGATCCTCTGTGAAGGCATGAATCAGAGCTTCAGAGAAAACTGGACCAGGACAAGCCATGGTTACATTTATATTATACATCACAGATTCAACACGCAGACTGTCAAACCAACCCTGACAAGTTAAACACAATGTGCTAAAACTGGCTTGTTGCAGTAGTGGAATGGCAACCTATGAGTGTTGTAGCAGTTACAGAATATAGGATCTAGTACCAATATTACAATAGAGATACAAGTATGATATTCTTTTAATCATGTGGAATACAGTTTTATCGACAACAGATTGATGTTGTAGCATTTGTGAAATTTAGTGCTTTGAAACAGGAAAGACAATAACTAAATTACTGTTTTTTGTCCATATTTTCAAATGCATCAATATATTGACTTACAAGTGTATTACATGTATCCTATTCCTGAAAGGAGAAAGACTGATATAGACTTACATGCAGGGCATGTTTAGAGGCACAGTAGGATCCAAGTCCTGGTGCACCTGTCAAATTACAATATTTAGTGTATGGGTTTATCTTACAAATATCTGATAGATACTACATCTAATTATCAGTACAAGTGTCACGTAAAATTCTCGTATTTCTTCCACTTTAAAATCATGATAAAAGTTATTTTTAAAAAACAAAACAAAAGTAAGCAAGTGCTTGCGTAGATGTAAATCCACCCCCACTCTCATCTTTATCTTCTAATCTAAATCTATTGAGAGGTTAATCCAGGAGATATTTTGGATGCCTATGAGATATCTTGTACACAAGCTTTCTATTTCCATATGACCTTTAACCTTTTCCCTTGACTAATGACCACAAAAATTTGCTGAAGTGGAGGCCTTGGTGAGGTGATGCTATGAAGAGAAATTGAGCTAAATCTGTCCATGGATTTATAAGATATCTTGTTATCATGGAAGCACAAGTTGAACACTATATACCTTTCCATAAGTAAGTAGGGACTATACATAACATATAAACAATTAAAAAGGAATTCACTTATGTACGGTTTAAAATCCTATTTTAAATCTTGCATGAGATTTCAAGGTTACATGAATTGTAAACATCACAATAATCACCTACCTACAGGTGCTAACAGTCTTATAACTTACCAAATTTTCCTGCTACGCTGCTTGTGACCACAACCTGTCCAAAATTCTGTTGGATAAAAACTGGAAGGACAGCTTTGGTCAAGGATATTGGACCTAAAGTGTTGACTGCGAGCATTTGTTGGTCCACCTCAAATCTTGTTTTACTAATCACGGCCCTCTGTGAACGACCCGCATTGTTCACCAGACAGTCTATCTGTAGACAGAGTAACAATGACTGTTTCAAAAAGGATCATCTGAAGACTTTATAGTATGTTGTCATTGATCACTAGGGGTAAAAGCAGGTGTTAAAACATCAAAGTGTTAAATTGAAATTCAGTTTGAAACTAAATAGTGAATTGACAGTAGTTATAGTTAAATAAAGAAACTACTTCACTGTGTCCATCAAAATTAAACATCTATCAATAGTTGAACAAAAGGCACTTCATAAAGAGAGAATCATGAAGTGTACCTTTTTAAAGTATTTGAGCACAGTTTCCACCAGACCTTTGTGTGAATCACCTTTTAATGAACTGCTTAAACACAGTCATTAAAAAAAAACAAGTTATGTGTTAAAACTGACAATATCCATGTGTTAAAACGACAAACAAGGTAGTTTCTTGTGTGAATCATATGCTAGTAAATCCAGTGGCAGCACAAGGTAGTTCTCTGGTGTACCATATCCTAGATCTGGAATCAATGAATTATTGTGTTGTAGGTCTGTTTCATGAAAATTACAATCCTAAACTCCAAGAAAAAACCTTTTAATGAACTGATCTTCAGGAGTTTTCTAAACACACAATGGCTCATTAAATTCACTATTAATAAACATACAATTATGTGTTAAAACTGACAAGTTATGTGATAAAACTGACAAATTATGTGTTAAAACTGACAAGTTATGTGGAGTGTTATTTTATCAGTTACTAACAACTGATAAGTATGTCAATCAAAAAGAACACTAAAATTCCTGACCAATTAATTTCTGTTTCAGTGTTTGTAGCTTGTCTTCCCGTCGAGCTGAAAGCACAAGACGACATCCTACAGATGCCAGTTTCACAGCTAGGGCCTCTCCAATTCCACTAGATGCACCAGTCACCCATACCACCTGGTCTCTCAGACAATCTGAAATAATTATGTTGAGTAATGTAAATGTGCATACAAAAGAATATAAAGAAAAACATTGTCATGTGTTTTTTTTCTATTAAATAAGTTTGCTTTTAATCTCATCTTCTATATATAACTTGTAATTCTTCATGTCATCACTGCTTGAATGAAATTGTCAATGACCTTAACACAATTTATCATTTATGTAATTTTGAAGGAAAAAACGGAGACGTTGGATAATTTCACCTTTAGTTGGAGTAGGATATTTTTCCCCAAACAATGGGTTGGGGGTTACTATTCCGCAATAATCAACGTTGAGATGACCAACTGGATATTCTTCACATTTTCTCTAGATCGGACATCTCCAAAATGGTCTGACTACAATGGCAGTTCCTTACAAACTGACGCAAGTGACCAAACAAAGACCAACGACTAACTGCCAAACCCAAACAAGACAACACTGACCATTACCATATATGGCACATTATGAAACGACTGTACACCACATTTACATAACAATACACAAGACGTAAGACGTACATATACAGACAAACAAATGGACGTTTACAAGTCCATGCCCAAAATAACACGTAACGATGAACGCAACAGTTCTAAAATAACATCTTTTATTAAAATGACTAATTTTACACATTGTAACATCTTATAGGTCTACCAGTTTTGTGCACACGGTCATTTGATCAAAACACAACTGTACACAAATTATGACACTAAATACATTGCTGATGCTATTTGCTAACTTCTCCTGTGGATAAATACAACTGTTTTAGGTAACCAGTCCAATATTCCAAAAATATCACACTTCTAAAAGGGACTTATGTTCTGAAATAATGTAGGACCTTCAGTGAACTAATCAACATACTTGCTGACCCTCCCTATTTATGATGGAGACTTCCCATGTTGGACTCTTCATTTTGTGATTTTCAATAAGTGAATTTGCTGAACTATTCTTACAGTCTAAGGTTTAGTGATTTCATCTTAATGAACCACTCAACGATGTCATTTACAGGTGTTATTTCTTTACCGATTTATACACACATTTTATTTATGTTTTTATTTTTTATCACGTAAAATCTCCTCACATTGAAAACTTTTTGAAGTTGGAAATATGAATGAAAATGGAATACATTGATGATCATGAGGATGACTTTAATCAACTTCATCGTGAAATAAAGATTAAATTCACCTGGAGATTTTCCGAGCTTTTCTATCCATGTGAGGGCCAGATCACAGTCTGCTCTCAGTATTGTAATGATCTGTAGTACCAGGAAGAGTATGATACAGACGATCAGGAAATAAAGCCAGTCCATCTGAAACACCACATATATAGTTATATAACTAAACAATAAAGCCCTCTATATATAGTATACCAGACACACAGGTAAACCATCTGTTATCTTCCTGTTACATCATCTTCAGTTCAAGTCAAATACAGCGAATCATAAGGAACATTAAAAATAAGTAATGTCTCAGGAAAGAACCTTGGGGTAGGCGTGAGAGGACTGGGCAAGTGTTCCATCAACAGTTCTTTTGTTCTCATGAAAATTTTGTGCCCAGGTAATAATGTAGGCATTAATACCTAAATGTGAAGGTTTAAACATTAACTCATTGATGGTCCACTTTATCAAAAGCTTTTGAAAAATCTGTAACAGTCATATCACTTTGTTTCCTGTCTGCAAGATTATCATATATATCTGTGGTCAATGTCAAGATTTGAGTCTCACGACCGTCTCTTGATCAGAGTCCAAGTCTGAGTGGGGTAAAGTGGTTGTGACTGTTTACGTGTCATAATCATAATGTTTGATAATATGATGTGTTCGAGTCCCTTGCAGTAGTTTTGTGGGTCCTTTCTGGCACATTTTTGTTTTGTGAAATCAAAGTAATGCTGTTAGATGGAGTGATGCACGCCGTTTTTCAATCTGAAGGGACGTAAACTGTTTGTTGAAATGTGTCGAAAACGTCTGTGATGAAAGAAGATATTTCACAGCGAATTTGTACATATACAGTTTATCAATAACTTTTGACATCTGTGAGCAAAAACTTCAAAAATACAACGTTTAGTTATGTAACACCTACATTAATTAAATGAACATTAATTCAATTATATTATTCAAGCTGTCATTACATACTGTATTTACCATACAGTACAGAGGAACCCCCACTCAGAGGAACGTTTTTCAAAGATGTGATGTAAATCCATGAAGTAATATGCATACTAGAGTGAATTTCTAAAAACATTTATAAATGCAGTTCCTTAGATATGTACACTTAGATATACTGCAGTGTTTTCCCATTCACAACATCGATCTTTTAAAATTCTCTGCTGTTTAACACATTCAAAGGTCGAGGGTTTGTGATTGCGCAATACCGGAAACAAGGGTAGATAAGTACTATCAACTCCTGAACATCGTGACCACCGATGTTGATGTTTGTACTGGGGATGTGGACAAGATGAAGTGGATTTCTGTGGTGCTCACGTTGGTGGTAACGACGCATTATATCGATCTATGTGCGGGAATCCTTGGTAAGAAATCGCTCTTTCTATTTGATAGTGGTTGAGAAAAAATCATCAGTAAAATATCAACATGGTAACATATATAATAATCCTAACTCAGACTCCTAAAAATAGAACGAAACACGAACAAAAGAAAGATTTAAAGTATTACATATAATCATAGCAAAGTCACAGTTTAATGTTTAACATAATTCCATACCTATTTTGTTATCTGGTTGTGTAGCAACAGACTTTTTATTATATATGTTTAATAAATGATAATTGTTTTGCTAAAAAAATAATAAACATGAAAACATAGTGCTACCATTTATGCTAATTTCTGACAATTCAAAATGTTGAGATGCGAAATGTCAGTGTTTTCATGACTCTTTATAGCTTGTCTACTTAATATTGTAATATTTTAAGCACAAACATCATCAGGATTCATTTATAGTAACACACATTGCTTTTAAATCTTTTACTAATGACATTTAGGAAACCATTTTTGGAAGATTCAAAGACTGGTGCATGAAAGAAGAGTCAATGATTTAAGAGGAATACTTCCAGGAGAGTCTGTTTGTGAACTTTTCATTACTCAGCCATTGGACCATTTTGATAGACTGTCACAGGTAACGGCATGGCGTGAATATCATTATGATGTACAGTGATCTATAAACACAGAATAAACAGTAGATAACAGCTACAGCTAGAGTTCTGTATGATCTATATAATAACCAAGTGTACTAGTAAACACAGGATGACCTCTTTGTTCCCAGTAAGTACTGTCCTAACACTGACACACCAATATATGAATGGATACCTGTGGACCTGCTGACATTGACACCCAAGTGAACTGGTAGATACCTGTGGACCTGCTGACATTGATACCCAAGTGTAGATACCTGTGGACCTGCTGACATTGATACCCAAGTGAACTGGTAGATACCTGTGGACCTGCTGACATTGATACCCCATTGTACTGGTAGATACCTGTGGATCTGCTGACATTGACACCCAAGTCAACTGGTAGATACCTGTGGACCTGCTGACATTGACACCCAGGTGAACTGGTAGACACCTGTGGATCTGCTGACATTGACACCCAAGTGAACTGGTAGATACCTGTGGATCTGCTGACATTGACACCCAAGTGAACTGGTAGATACCTGTGGATCTGCTGACATTGACACCCAAGTGAACTGGTAGATACCTGTGGACCTGCTGACATTGACACCCAAGTGAACTGGTAGATACCTGTGGACCTGCTGACATTGACACCCAAGTGAACTGGTAGATACCTGTGGATCTGCTGACATTGACACCCAAGTGAACTGGTAGATACCTGTGGATCTGCTGACATTGACACCCAAGTGTAGATACCTGTGGATCTGTTGACATTGACACCAAAGTGAACTGGTAGATACCTGTGGATCTGCTGACACTGACACTCAAGTGTAGATACCTGTGGATCTGCTGACATTGACACCCAATTAAACTGGTAGATAGTTGTGGATCTGCTGACATTGACACCCAAGTGAACTGGTAGATACCTGTGGATCTGCTGACACTGACACCCAGGTGAACTGGTAGATTGTTGTGGATCTGCTGACATTGACCCAAGTGAACTGGTAGATACTTGTGGATCTGCTGACATTGACACCCAGGTGAACTGGTAGATTGTTGTGGATCTGCTGACATTGACCCAAGTGAACTGGTAGATACTTGTGGATCTGCTGACATTGACACCCAGGTGAACTGGTAGATACCTGTGGACCTGCTGACACTGACACCCAAGTGTAGATACCTGTTGACCTGCCGACACTGACACCCAAGTGCAGATACCTGTGGACCTGCTGACAATGGCACCCCAGTGAACTGGTAGATACTTGTGGATCTGCTGACATTGACACTCAATTAAACTGGTAGATACCTGTGGATCTGCTGACATCGACACCCAAGTGAACTGGTAGATACCTGTGGATCTGCTGACATTGACACCCAAGTGTAGATACCTGTGGACCTGCTGACAATGGCACCCCAGTGAACTGGTAGATACTTGTGGATCTGCTGACATTGACACCCAAGTAAACAGGTAGATACCTGTGGACCTGCTGACATTGATACCCCATTGTACTGGTAGATACCTGTGGATTTCCTAACATTGACTTGAGATCACATGTGAAGAACATACACCACATTTTCATCAGAATATCTCTGAACACCAGTATTGATAATGTGAAGATAGATGCATACTGGTAATATGCTCTGCTTTGTAGGAGGCTGGAGAAACATTCAAGCAGAGGCTCTTTGTCAACGATCAGTTCTATGAAGCTCATAAAGGACCTGTTTTTCTGTATATTCAAGGGGAGGGAACTCTGAGTCCTGTGTCTGCCAAGTCAGGTAATGCCCAAGTTCTGATAGACAAGTCATCAAGGTATCAGAATATTTTAACATGTTTGAATAATTTGAAAGAATTTTGAAATCATTTCCATTTCATAATATTGAGTTGTAAGGTTTTAAATCAGCCTTGACAAATACTTACAATAGTAAAAAGACTTTACATGATTACTCACAATAGTAAAATAGACTTTACAGGTGTAATAGGAAAGTGTAAGGAAGAACACCCTGCCACTGCTGGGGATCAAACTAGTGACCCTTTGGTCTCTAGCCGGACACTCTATCACTCAGCTATAGGGAAATTCTCACTAACTGAGGCTAGTAAGGCAATCTGTACTCTCAACTTCTACACTGGAATACTCACAGTAGTAAAGAGACTTTACAGGAATCTTGTTAGATATACAGATGTTTACATGCTGAAATCAACTGTAATTCTACAATATACACAATAAGTTGTTGTAAAAGTAAACAAACAAAATGTTGGTTACATGTGTTGGTTGATTTGAATTTAGAAAACTGGATTGCAGTGATTATAAAACATTTCAGCAGCAGAAGTTAGAAATACGTCAAATTTACATAGATTATGATAGAAGTAATATCAATATTGTAGGTTTCCCAGCAGAATTGGCTAAAACAGTTGGTGCTTTGATTGTGGCAGCTGAGCATCGTTTCTATGGTGCCAGTATCAATGACGATGGCCTTAAGTTGGATTCCCTGCGACATTTGTCCAGTCAACAGGCGTAAGTTATATATATTACATGAAGTACATGTTGAGTTACTTGATAATAGGGAAACAGAAACATACTTACCACTGTCTTCCTGTAATATGTACCAATATGTATTATACAGGCTGGCTGACCTGGCAGAAGTTCACTCTTTCATATCTCAGAGATACAACTTGTCACAGGACCATCCCTGGGTTTCTTTTGGTGGCAGTTATGCTGGTGCTCTGTCAGCATGGTTTAGGGTGAAGGTCAGTGATATCAAGGACATGACATATTAGTGTCTCCTGGGTCAAGGTTGTGTAGACATTGTAATATATGTCATCTAAAAAACTAGTTTCTGAGATTAGCTGATATTTTACATTTACAGATGTTGGAATGATTAATTTTAAGTCAGGTTTATCAATAATACATGATGTACACACATTGAGATCAAAATATTCATATATACATCATATAATCAGTTTGTCACTGTGATCATGTCAAGGTTACGAATCTTAATCAGAGTTTTCAAACATTCTGATAAGTGATTGGTGTAATGATAAACCCACAGTTAAGACATTTCTTGGCTGGCTGATTTGATAGTCCAAAAAGTTGCTAGTTCAAGGCCAGTACAGAACAAAACTGACATACTTTCGAATGGTTTGGAAATTCTGTTGGAGAGATTGTACACTTTCATATCTTTAAGTCTCAGAAACTTTTTACCAACTTATACCTCAATACAGTATATTTAAGATGTTCTCTTTAGTAAACCTATTGAATTTTTTAAAATTAGAATAATTAGAAAAAAATCTAATTACTCATGTCTAAAATTGAATCCAGAAACTGAGAGACTTTCTCCTAAACAGAGAGAGTTGGAGAGTGTATAGGTACTTGTGGTATTAGGTCCCTTTCCAGGCTGACTTGGGCAGCACTGAACTCATTTCATCAGAAGAGACACAGAATCATGTATAAATTTAATTTACTTGTAAACCTGAAAAAATAATCCATAATATTATGTGATTAACATATGCAAATTGTACACAATGCCACACTTGAATTCCCTAGGTGGCAGGGAATACATTGTTTTGTTTTGTCTCTACAGTATCCTCACCTCGTCATTGGAGCCCTAGCCTCTTCAGCTCCCGTCAGAGCTCTCACAAACTTTGAAGGCTACAACGATGTGGTTGCAGCTAGCTTGGAATCTTCCATTGTCGGAGGAACAGAGGAGGTAGGTCTATGTAAATATTTAATGGATTCAGGTTAACATGGCTTTCCTATTCAGAAATTCAGAAATATATCTTAGCACACACAAAACGTATAAGATAGAAATATAGAGATTGTTGGCTTTTACAACTTGACTACGAGGTCATTAAACCATGAGTTCCTTCTACTCAGTCAGACTCAATTATCTTAAGATGGCTGTAAAAGATAAAATGAGTCATATTCAGACACTTACAATTTGATGGAAACACAGCGATGCAAGTGTAACTTATCTCATTGCAGTAAAAATGTAGGTCACAGCCACCTACTTTTCAAAGGTGTTGTATTGTTTGATAGAAATGATGTGTGAATGGATTATAATGACTGCATGTTGGAGCAATAGTCCAAGAGAAGAGCTAAACGTGAAGTATTAGACTAAATGCAAAAACTTGGTGTAGTGAATAATTCCAGAGAGAAATTGAAGGTAAACTCACAACTCTGATATCATAAGGACAGCACAAACTTTGACCTAAATTTATAATTCAATTCACTACAGGGAATGAAGGCTTAACATCCCTCAATATCTTAATCTTTGCAAACCTAGTATAGATACGATTGTATAGACAAAGCCTAACTGAGGTAATCAAGGTACTGTTACTAATACAAATGAGTCCAATACACAATATTCTTCTCTGTATCCGAATTTAATGACAATACTTGTGTTCAAATATTTTTCTGTGTGATGTTCACAATATTCTACTGTTTCAGCCTCAGTGACATGATTTCATCATACTTTCAGTGTATGACACAGATCCAGCAAGCATTCATCCAGATTGATGCCTTGCTGAAATTGGGAAACCACACATTGTTGGAGGGTTACTTCAGCTCATGTGAACCAGTCATTGACCCTCTAGACCAACTTACTTTTGTGTCAAACCTTGCATCCATCATCCAGGGTTTGGTCCAATACAACAATGAAGTACCAGGGTTGGACATTGATGGAATATGTGGTATCATGCAGGTGACCAGTGATCCACTCAGAAATCTGGCTTCTTTAAACACAGTATGTATCAATTATAGTAAACAATTTAGTAGTCTTTAAATATTATATTGATATGTAATGGTTGAGAAAGATGCATAAAATATGAGACTGTGATTTGACGTGGGAAACAAATACAGGTCACATATTTACACCAATTATTTGACAATTTGGAATATTTTCATGACAGGGCTTATAGTATGGCATTGTCTAACCATGACATGGAATTGTGTTTTCTTGAAAAGCAGTTTAATTGTAATTAGGTATTTAGTATTTAGAAGTCATTGTCTCTTGTTATTTTCTATTTGTTTATCTGGTCTAGAGGTCTCTTTGCATTTTCAATCAAGTTCATTTCAAACAGTTAAGACTTTTTATCATAAAGATGTGTTTTCCTACAGAACACGGCTTTTTAAAGGAATTTTTTTAAATGATTCCCATCTCGACATTTTGTATTCTTTTGATAAAATTACGTAGTCATTGGAAAAGGACTAGCATATCTTGGTCCACTCTGCAGTACTTTTGTTGAAATTTGATTTTGTTACAGCAAATCATGAAAAATTCTAATATCTCCTGTGTGAACAACTCCTATGCTGAAATGGTTAAAATGATTGGTAACACAACAGTGGACAGGAATGCAGAGGGGCCAGGCATGAGACAGTGGATCTGGCAGACATGTACCCAGTTTGGATATTGTATGTCACATCTTAGTAAGCTGTATGTCACATCCAAGTAAACTGCATGTCACATCCCAATAAACTGTATGTCACGTCCTAGTAAACTGCATGTCACATCCTAGTAAACTGTATGTCACATCCTAGTAAACTGCATGTCACATCCTAGTAAACTGTATGTCACATCCTAGTAAACTGTCACATCCTAGTAAACTGTATGTCACATCTTAGTAAACTGTATGTCACATCCTAGTAAATTGTATGTCACATCCTAGTAAACTGTATGTCACATCCTAGTGAATTGTATGTCACATCCTAGTAAACTGTATGTCACATCCAATAAACTGTATGTCACGTCCTAGTAAACTGCATGTTACATCCTAGTAAACTGTATGTCACATCCTGGTAAACTGTATGTCACATCCTAGTAAACTGCATGTCACATCCTAGTAAACTGTATGTCAGATCCTAGTAAACTGTATGTCACATCCTAGTAAACTGCATGTCACATCCTAGTAAACTGCATGTCACATCCTAGTAAACTGTATGTCACATCCTGGTAAACTGTATGTCACATTCTAATAAACTGTCACATCCTAGAAAACTGTATGTCACATCCTGGTAAACTGTATGTCACATCCTAGTAAACTGCATGTCACATCCTAGTAAACTATATGTCACATCCTAGTAAACTGTATGTCACATCCTAGTAAACTGCATGTCACATCCTGGTAAACTGTATGTCACATCCTGGTAAACTGTATGTCACATCCTAATAAACTGTCACATCCTAGAAAACTGTATGTCACATCCTGGTAAACTGTATGTCACATCCTAGTAAACTGCATGTCACATCCTAGTAAACTGTATGTCACATCCTAGTAATCTGTATGGCATGTCACATCCTAGTAAACTGTATGTCACATCCTAGTAAACTGTATGTCACATCCTAGTAAACTGCATGTCACATCCTAGTAAACTGTATGTCACATCCTAGTAAACTGTATGTCACATCCAATAAACTGTATGTCACGTCCTAGTAAACTGCATGTCACATCCTAGTAAACTGTAGAATATACATTGGCATAAGATACCATAATACCAGTGTGTCATGCAATAGTTACTGTTTTAGCTCACCAGGTCTGAAGAGCCAAATGAGCTCAAGGCATAACATGGTGTCTGTTGTCTGTCCGTCTGTTGTCTGTCTGTCCGTCTGTCAATTTTTTCATACAAATCACTACTAGTCATAAATGACTTACAGGTTTTTGACCAAATTTGGTCAGAAGCATCCACAGGGAAAGTAGAACATATTATAAATGATGGGCCTTGGCCCCCTGGGGCCTGAGGAGCGTGGCCCAATAGGAGAAGTTTTAAAATCCTACTCCTCCTGTAGGAATGATTGAATTTTGCCCAAGTTTAGTCTGAAGCATTGTTGTATGAAAGGGAATCAATTTTGTATACTGTACATGGTGGGTCTTGGTCCCCTGAGGTGAGAGGGGTGGGGCCCAATAGGGGAAATAAAGCAAATGCTTTAAAATTCTACACCTGCTGTCAGAATGTTAGGATTTTGCCCCAGATTTAGTCTGAAGCATTTCTGGGTGAATGGGAATCTGATTTGTATAAAAGTGGATTCTGGCCTTCTGGGGTGGAAGGGTGGGGCCCAATTGGTGAAATATAGCAAATTTCTTATAATCCTACTTTGCCAATATTTGGTGAGAAGTACTCTTTCGTGAAGAGGACAAAGTTTGTGTAAGGATTCGTTCTCATTTCTCAGGGGTATTAGGGGTGGGGCCCAAAAGGGAAATTTTGCAAGTTCTCTAGAATCTTATTCCTCCTAATAATAAATGGATATTGTCCGGATTTGGTAAAAAGTATTCTGGGGTGAAGGGGACTGTATAAACCGTGCATCCCAGGCCCCCTAGGACAGGAGGGGTGGGCCTAATTAGGGAAATCTAATTTCTTAAAAGTCCTTCTTCCATACAAGGATAGTGTCCATGTTAGGTCTAAAGCAATTTTTATGAATAGTGAATCTGACCTCTGTTTTACAACAAGGGCAGACCGAATAGGGAAATCATATCAGAAATTAAATAAGAAATTGTCATATTTGAGATTCTTTATTAAATAGCTGAATAGCTAAATTAGCCACTTGAGCCTCTTGTACTTTCAACATTGTGTGCATATGTATACAGATGTGAAAGAATATTGCAATTCAAATTACAAATAATGTTAAATATGTCCCAGGATCATGAATTAACGGTCTTAAGTCTAAAACTGTTGTATGTTTGGACTTAGCCAATCATGCAAAACATCATGTCATATATGATTGGTTAAGCAAAAGCTCAGGTTTAAGATTGTTTCACAATCCTCGGGCCAAGTATGTTATGCATCAACTTGAATTAATAAGGAACATTTACAAATTAACATTTGTTTGATAAATTGTGCATACATTGAGAAAATCACTATTCCAATACCAGTAAAATAATTTTTATCACCCACAAAGCTTGACATTATCTCTTACACCTTAAAGCAAGTTCATATTTTAACGTTACATAGATTCTCTGCAGTGATCAGCTCTTTTCAAGTTGAAGTGCTAAAAACTTGCAATTAGTAGACTTTGTATTTCTTACTTTGTTTCCATGGTAACAGAGAAAATATCACAAATGAGTTCTTGCCAATAGCAAAAGGTACAACTAGATACTATGCTGATTTGTGTACAAAGTTTAGTGGAGATCAGTTGCTTGTGTCAAAGATGTCCAAGCCCTCACTCAAATGGACAGACAGGCCTAGTTTAAAAACCCCTTGCAAACATGTTCTTCAGGGGATAATATATATTAAGAAAAAGATTAAAGTGTTGTGAGTTGTGTCCCTTTGTTTCCAGATCAGACTTGTGATGCAAAAACAAACTGTCCATTCTCCCGTCTGATAGACCTCCCCAGTCAGACGAAGCTCTGCAGCGACTTCTTCAGTATCTCACCACAGGACATCCCTAAGTTTGTGAGCTTCACTAACGAGTACTATGGTGGGGATACTCCACACGGCAACAAGATCATCTTCTCCAATGGTTAGTATGAAATGTTGTCACACTTTCCAATAGATAATTCAGTTGCTGCCTTTTATTATGTTTGCACAAAATTCATGCACATAATCTGTTGTCTGGACAACAGTTCAAAGGTTCAAAGATATAGTATCAACTTTCAATATCACAATACCTCTATACTTAAATTCCTACTATGCCTAGAATTGTTGAATGCATTGAAACATTAATGATTTGTTAATTATACCAATGTATTACTGATAAATATATGGTTGTAGGTTCTATTGACCCCTGGCACAAACTAGGTGTACTGACTGACCTCAACCCTTCGGAACAGGCAGTGTTTATAAAGGGCACTGCTCACTGTAATGACCTCCGTTCTAGTAATTCAAAGGATCCGCCACAACTCACTGCCGCGAGAAAGGTAAAAACAACTTCAGTTATAATCATCTTATCTGATATCATCCTTCAGTTGATTACTCAGTTAGGGAGTCAAATAGTACTTTGAGGGAATAGAAATATAGGTGTCTAAATGTAAGTTTTGGTCTCCAACAGTGCAAATCATAGGTACAGATAGGTAATTCAACAATCATATTTTACATCCCATTGCAGGTCCACATAGGTTATTTTTTATAAGAAAAATGATCAAAATGACATTTTGAAATATAGTAGTTCTGTAGTTTAAGCAAGGTAAATACACATAAAATTGGAAGAGTGTAGAAATGTTTGGTTGAGTACATGTAGTAACAGTATTGTTCAACTTTAGCTTCCAGTCACCGATAAAATAACTTTTGGTAACATTTTAGGATCATAGATATTTTGTTTCATGAAATTTTATTGCTGAGAAAACAGGATTGGAGAGTCTCTCCTTTGGGTACATTTGCACATGTAAACATATGATGTAAGGGAAGCAACTCCTATAAATCAGTGGTTATAATATCTCAAGCTGTTTCAATAATTTAACCATTGACTCCGTGTTTATAAGAGAGTGTTTTGATGATATCAATTTGAGAAAAGCTAAATTTGAGCAAGATTTTATTCCTATAACCATTATCAAATTTCCTCACATCACCAGATACCATTGTATCCATAATCTGTATTAGGTTACATTAAATACAAGATAGAGGAAAAAACTGTCGATATTCAAATAGATATGCGAACAAATGATTTATTAAATTCTTAAAAAGAACAATTTCTTTTACCTATTTATTTCCTTTCAGAAAATTTCTTCCATAATAATGGACTGGCTTAAAGAAGCAAGTGTAAGCGAGGTAATTTAGTGCAAAATGGAGACAAATTTGTGATTTACAAACGACTGAATGCATGTTTACCTGTTGATGTACATTATAAACATTGTTGTTTCCTTACATTATATTGGAGATGGAAGAGGAATTGTTCACAGAAGAAGAATCCAATTATTTCCTAGAACTTGTGATAATGAAAGAAGTTTTTTTCACACCTTGTGATAAGATTAAGAGTTAACATCATGTTCATAATTTTATACACTAATTTTGCAATCACCATTGAAGAGAATGTGTTTAATATTTCCAGAGTTGAAATATTCCATTATTTTTATAAATCTTTACCAGAAATTTACCAGGTTCCTGTGATAACACAATGTGTGATATTTGATAAAATAAAGATGTTTCTCTTGCCTTAGTTTACTTTAGTTTAATTCTTCAGCAGATCTTTTTAATATTAGAAAAAGGAAACAAAATAGGTCAATTTAATTACATTACAAAAAAGATGTGATTTGGACTGCACACTATGATACAGAAACAATGACACAGGTATGGCATTTCAACATTTTATTCATTTTCAAAGTTAAAATATTCAATATCCAAATGCATGCACACTGTACAACAGCACATTTGGATTAGGTACTTTAACTGAGTAAGCATAGCCTACGCTCATTCTACATTTTTGAGTTCTACATCTATAAGAATAGTCTTTGACAGCCTCTCATTATTTTTAACAATAAAGTTGTAACATCATCACACATCTGACAATACATACAACATTCATAAACAAACATTTACCTATAATATAGCATATGACCATACTTAGACATGAATACACATCTGGATTCCATAAAACATTACAGACTCTGTAAGAGTATGCCAGAAGTCCATCCCTCTGGTGTCACTCTGACTCTGTAAGAGTATGTCAGAAGACCGTCCCTCTAGTATCACTCTGACTCCGTAAGAGTATGTCAGAAGACCATCCCTCTAGTATCACTCTGACTCCGTAAGAGTATGTCAGAAGACCATCCCTCTAGTGTCACTCTGACTCTGTAAGAGTATGCCAGAAGACCGTCCCTCTAGTATCACTCTGACTCTGTAAGAGTATGTCAGAAGACCGTCCCTCTAGTATCACTCTGACTCTGTAAGAATATGTCAGAAGACCGTCCCTCTAGTATCACTCTGACTCTGTAAGAGTATGCCAGAAGACCGTCCCTCTAGTATCACTCTAACTCTGTAAGAGACTCTGTAAGAGTATGCCAGAAGACCGTCCCTCTAGTGTCACTCTGACTCTGTAAGAGTATGCCAGAAGACCATCCCTCTAGTGTCACTCTGACTCTGTAAGAGTATGTCAGAAGACCGTCCCTCTAGTATCACTCTGACTCTGTAAGAGTATGACAGAAGACCGTCCCTCTAGTGTCACTCTGACTCTGTAAGAGTATGCCAGAAGACCGTCCCTCTAGTATCACTCTGACTCTGTAAGAGACTCTGTAAGAGTATGCCAGAAGACCGTCCCTCTAGTGTCACTCTGACTCTGTAAGAGTATGCCAGAAGACCGTCCCTCTAGTGTCACTCTGACTCTGTAAGAGTATGTCAGAAGACTATCCCTCTGGAATCACTATCTCTTCACTGGCATCTTCACTTTTATTGGCTGAAAATATGAAAAAAAGAGAAAGATAAGAAAACAGCTTTAGCAAACCAGTTTCAGTGGAGATTTAATTTCTTTTCAATTCATGAAACATACATGATCTTTTGATATGTGATATACAGAGACCTTACTAGCATAAAAAGACACAGTATCAAATTAAACAAACTTTCTAGCAGGTCATTTCAGCAAGCTACAGGACATTATGACTGTAAGCTTCATGGTATTGTAGAAGACTGTTACACTTCAACATATTTGCCCTATTTGACAATTATATCTGATAACGACGAGCTTTGATCTTTTCCAATATGCCCAGTATACACTTGTTTAGTTATATGAAATATCCTAATAACATTGGTAAAACTAATAGTCTAAAACATTTTGATTGCTTTTTGGCTCTGTAACAGACAGACATTAATGTTTGTCTAAAAACTTAATCTATCTAACATGTACATGTAACATCATCCCAGACTTACCTTACTACAATAAGGACAGTCGCCAAATATGGTGTTGAAGCTTTGTCTGCTAGATGGTAAGGCTCTCAGCCACTGAAACATTCAGAGTTACCTTGTATTACATGAGGTGGTAGACTATAAACTTACTTCGGATTCTTAGTGAATACTATTAGGTTAAATAAAGCAACATGAGAATGTTTTCACCTTTACAGTTTTTTCTACTGTGAGCTATTTTAAAAACACCACAAAACCAAAGTATATCTCGTATCTTAAAATACTTGTTTGGACCTTCCAGTCACTAAACGCTAAATTTTGGTTTTGTGCCGACTTTAAATTCAGGATTTAATCGTATGGGAATAACGAACATGTTAACGTCATTCGAACTGGTTTAGATATTTACTTTAGTGAAGCATCTCCTACCGACTAATTAATTAAAGACTTACCTCATACTGACTTATTAATTAAAGACTTACCTCATACTGACTAATTTATTAAAGACTTACCTCCTACAGACTAATTAATTAAAGACTTACCTCCTACAGACTAATTAGTTAAAGACTTACCTCCTACAGACTAATTAGTTAAAGACTTACCTCCTACAGACTAATTAGTTAAAGACTTACCTCCTACAGACTAATTAATTAAAGACTTACCTCCTACAGACTAATTAGTTAAAGACTTACCTCCTACAGACTAATTAGTTAAAGACTTACCTCCTACAGATTAGTTAAAGAGTTAAAGTTAAAGACTTACCTCCTACAGACTAATTAGTTAAAGACTTGCCTCATACAGACTAATTAATTAAAGAGTTACCTCCTACAGACTTATTAATTAAAGACTTACCTCCTACAGACTAATTAGTTAAAGACTTACCTCATACTGACTAATTTATTAAAGACTTACCTCCTACAGACTAATTAATTAAAGACTTACCTCCTACAGACTAATTAATTAAAGACTTACCTCCTACAGACTAATTAGTTAAAGACTTACCTCCTACAGACTAATTAGTTAAAGACTTACCTCCTACAGACTAATTAGTTAAAGACTTACCTCCTACAGACTAATTAGTTAAAGACTTACCTCCTACAGACTAATTAGTTAAAGACTTACCTCATACTGACTAATTTATTAAAGACTTACCTCATACAGACTAATTAATTAAAGACTTACTTCACACAAACTAATTAATTGAAGACTTAACCTCATACAGACTAATTAATTGAAGACTTACCTCATACAGACATGTCTGATGGAAGGGTTGTCCACAGCGGGCATCACTACATGCCTGATTAGGAAGCTCAGTATCAAGTCTGAAGGCATAACATATCCCACACTCCACACTGAACTCCTACAAAGGAATCAAAACTTCAATGATTTAACAATAATGATCAAACAAGCTCAATGAATTTATATCAATCATCCTGAAACTGATGGAAGCAAGAAGGAGTCTTAATTAGGAAGGAAATTGCAATATCTAGAAAAGTCCATACTGTTTCCATTAAATCAGGAATCAAGCCCTACCCATAATGTATCGTGTTTGAGGTCTGATCCTTTCATTCTTAACATGCATCTCCTTGGTGACCGTCACAGGCATCTCCTGGGTGACCATGAAGATGGGCTGGTCACTTGTTGGATAAACCTTAATCTAATGGTTTAATCAGATTGCACATTTTTTTGCAATAACAGTAATCAGGTAGTATATACTATTAATAGGTTTTGTCTGAGCAACAGATCTATAACACACACACATATATATATATAATCATATAACTGGTCTGATGAAACCAGGTTATTAGTAGTTACTAGAACCAGGTACTGACCTCTTTACTAGATGTGGCAGGAGAAGGTAGTTGTGTTCCCAGCAATACCTGTAAATTCTCCAACAATCCTTTCCCTTCATCCCTGCAACATAATGGGAACATTACAGTACCAAAACCTTGGCAAAAAGTCAAGGCACAAACAGATTTCTAAAAACAAGACAAAAACCAATGTAGGAGAATTTTTTGTGGTTATAATAGTAACTGTGTATTATACAGCAAGACTTTGACATACCAATATGTCTTGCATGTCCCTCTTTGTTAGTATGGTAATGTTTAAGCCAAAGTACACTAAACTAAAACTCACCCCATCTCAAACCAAGAGAACTGTTCGGCAGAACAATAAACATTTGTCCCATTCAAAAGAACTATTCAGAATTTATTGTATCAAAAAGAAACCAAATATGAAAATGGTAAATAGACGTCGAAATATGAAGGAGGGAAACCAGCTCTATGTTTTAATAATAAAAATGAATACCAAGTTTTAAAGAGATGCGTGTAAAATAAAAAGGAGGAATCTCTGGACAAGATTGAAATGCTGAAAAGAACAAAGGCCAATACTGTTTTTAACTATTGTTGAAGCAAAATGTTATTCACAAGAACACCATCTCATGCTGTGGTCTTCAAGCCAACAAAGTCTTAAAGAAATAGGTTGAAAACTGAGGGAAGAGATATCTGATAAGATAAAAATGTTAAAAATAAACTGACGGAAACAACTCCTACTATACTGGGTTGATCACACTGCTGTTTAAACAAAATATCTCTTCCTATTATGGTTTAAGCCTTACCATTTGGAAAGAAAATGAATGAAAACTGAGAGAGATGCTCTTCAGACAAAATTAACATTATGAAAACAACATGAGGCAGTAACTCCTTCAAATGTAGTCAAATCAAACTGCCATTTAGGAAAACACAAATTTATATCTTTGTGATTAAGCCTATAAAGTTACAGGGAGTAGATCTCCACAGGCAGACAAGATTACCATTATGGAAAAAAAAACAAAGGGCAATAACTCTCCAAATACAATCTATTTAAACTGCAGTTGCGGAAAGCACAACTTCATGCCATGGTGATTAAGCCATTGAAGTTTCAAAGAGATCTGTTGAAAACTGAGAGATCTCCAGACAAGATTAACACCATGAAAAAAACAAGGACCAGTAATTCTTCAAACCACCCATCATTCAGGAAAATACAACTTTCTTGTCATGGTGATTGAGTCTACCAAATTAGAAAAAAGTTAATGAAGGCTGGAGGGAGGAACAACACCATACCATAACTCCTGTCAAATGTGGTTAAATATTGATGCAAGTAAACCTATAGTCTACTTTCCATGACTTTTCATCTCAGGCAAAAACAAAATAAAAGAATCTTTAAACAGCTTTCCATTAGATGAAGATGATGTATTGTTAATTAACATCTCAATCCTCTCCCCAACACATTTGGAACACCTTGTGCTGACAGGTAATAGAGAATAGATTATTTAAATATACTGTACACCTAAAACACATGTAAGCTGTACTTGGTACAAGGTATACATATATATACTGAAACGAAAAAAAAACGCAACTTGGAAAATTGTTATTAATTTTGTATTAAATATACATAGCTGTATAAAAATCGCGGAAATAAAAGTGCACCCTGCCTATCACCCTAACCAATGTTCAAAATCAAGCAGGTGTGACGAGAAACCTATGCATATCCGGCAGGGTAAAAACATCAAAAACCGTGCCTGTACAAACATATGCGTTCTTTTTCATTCAAACCAGTATCAATTTATCACTAACATCGAGACACATCATCGCCAATACTTTTGCAAACAATAATTCCTTTTACAATTATGCCACGGTTATCACAGGTTGATAGAGGACATGCTATCGCGATGCTTATGGCAGGGAGCACGTAACTTCACGTTGCTTGACAAATCGACTATTAGTCGATTAGTTTCACGTCTTAACGCCACAGGAAGAGTCGATGACCGGCCGAGATCAGGACGTCCACGCGTAACGTCGCGACGTCGAGGCCAGGTTGTTAGGCTGGCACACTTGCGTAACAGGAGGCTAACGGCTGCTGAAACGGCAAGGAACACGATTAGTAATCATAACCATCGGATTCATACCCAAACAGTGATCAACAGACTGCGTGAGGCTAATTTGCGTGCAAGGCGACAGTATGTTGCTTTACCACTAACACCGCAACGTCGAGCACATCGTATGCAATGGTTGACGGCCCAGACGTTTTCCTATGAGACGTTGGAGGTCCATGCTCTTCACCGATGAATCTCGATTCACGTTATTTCGAGCAGATGGCCGTCAACGTGTGTACCGGCATTGAGGCGAACGTTTTGCTGACGCCTGTGTTTTGGAGCATGACCGATTTGGGGGTGGATCAGTTATGGTTTGGGCGGGAATCTCCCATGGTTTGAAGACACCTTTGGTGATAGTCAATGGGAATTTAACGGCCGTACGCTATCGGGATGAGATCCTTAGGCCCCATGTTGTGCCGTTTGTTAGGCAGCATCATCTAACCTTGCAGCAAGATAACGTGAGACCACACGTTACAAGAGTCTGTAGAGACTTTCTTGCGACATAGAACATTGTTCCTATAGATTGGCCTCCATATAGCCCCGATTTGACCCCAATCGAGCATTTGTGGGATGAACTAGACAGAAGAATTCGCAATCGCCGTAACCCCCCAAATACCCTCCCCCAGTTAGCAAATGCACTCGTCCAAGAATGGAATAACATTCCAATACGGACAGTCAATGCCCTGATGAACTCGATGCAACGAAGAATTAGAGATACTATAGCTGTTCGAGGAGGATATTAGGGCACGGTTTCAAAACTGCTGCCATTTCAACTTGGATTAACGTAGGGTACTACCAATCATGACCTTCTAGCAAAGTGACCTTTTCTTAAAAATCTCCAAACATTTAGAGGATGTTACATCAATATTCAATATTAACTATTACATATGAAATTTAGACATAATGCTCACAAGTATTATTTTATTAAACCTACAATTTGAAGTTGCATTTCTTATTCGTTTCAGTATACAATATACAGATAAAAAACTTTATACTTTAAAGATGCACCTGAAAAGAGGATTTTCATGGAGATAAAGGTTTCAGTTAGCAGATTCGCCATTTAATAAATTATGTGATTGGAGGTCCTACATACCACAGATGAAGATTTGAATTAAGGCTCTCTCGCAGTGGAACTACAGCTAAAACAGATAAAAGAATCTGTTAACATCAATACATAAAACCAATTACTAACAGTAATTTAATAAAGTGAAAAAATGGCATAATCAACAACAAATTGCTTTAAGCAGAAAAACATTACAAAAGTATTACAGAAGTTATCAATTACCATTTCAACATAGAAATAGCAGGTGGCTGCTTGTGACATCCTAGTGTCTACTGACAATTATTTATTTCTATGCAAAATACTTGAAATCAGCTGAATTTGAATTCACCTTGATCAGCTCCTAGAAATCTACACTCTGGCAATGTCCTAGGGTGGCGATGGTCGACGCTGATCTGCAGGGATGCATTGGTTGCTATGGATACAATAATTCTCTGGTAATTAACATCTGTAACTTACTTTAGTAAGCTATTTAGTTCAGAATCGTCTACTAAGAATACACTAACATCCCAGTTAACTCTCACATTTGTAGAAGTACCACATTCATTCAACAATAAGTTCATGTCTGGTTATAACCCCCCCACTTATATTGCTGTCAAGTGAAATCCCACACTAAATCCATTTCACCGGCTGCAATAAGCTCATCCCCAGACTTGAAGAAGTCAGGTGTTGGCTTCCTGGGATTCTTAAATGTACATAAGTTTGTACATCACTTTCACTGCTAAGTCTATTGTTCACAGTATTTTTATCTCCATTTCCTCAGATAAGAGAGATCTGACTTGTCAATCTCTTCTTTGTTATGAATCTTCCATCAGTCTTAGTTCTGAATCTTCTATCAGTTCTTAACTTCCTAGTTTTCACCAGAATTTTAACTTAACTTTGTAGAAGACACCAACAATAAAATTTAAAAAAGCTTGCACCTGTTTCATGGAGAATTGGTTTTATTGCTTTCCGTAATTTGTTTGAAAGCTAATATCCTTGATGCTAAAATGCATATTTCATAAGTGATGTTGATGTTTATGATAAAGAAGGACAGCTGAACAGAAAATTTCCATATGTAAATTGTAGACATAATCTTTTAATGTGTGATACTGAGAAATACTATCTAGATAAAATTGGTAATGCCAAAAAATTAAAAAAAAAATAAATAGAACTTTCTACCCATAAATTGTAAACATATTCTTTAATGTGTGATACTGAGAAATATTACCAAGATAAGAAAAGTTTATTTCTGGTTTCGGACTTATATACAAGTCCTCTATACCTGACTCAAAAAATACATTATACAAAATATTGAAATATTAAAAATTTTACTTAGACCTCTATATAATATCTATATAATATATGTAATAAAACCTATATAATTAAGTACATCAAGTTCTTGCCATCATAACTATGCCTCAAACTGTTTAACAGCTGTTACAGGTTTTAACCCCTGTAGATCAGCAATCACTTCCAAAATACATCAGATTGTCAATGTGCAATAAATCAGCCCGTATGGACTTAACCCATACATACCTTATCACTGTCACACAGTCTCAGTATCAATAGATCAGCCCCTACAGATAACATCTATACGTGCTATTACCTGTATCCTCAGTGAGAAACCTTGTGCTAAATTTTATTGTTTGTAGTGTACCCCATAAATAACATGAAGAATATGATGTTATGTAACAAAATTTCTAGCTAGACTGATCAGTAAATCTGTACCACAGTTAATATGTTTCTACTGATTACCAATTACAATCAGGATTAACTACTTGTAACAGTCAAGGGAGGGGGGGGCCTACCCAAATCCTGTAACAGTCAAGGGGGTCTACCCAAATCCTTTAACAGTCAAAGGGACCTATCCAAATCCTGTAACAGTCGAGGGGACCTACCCAAATCCTGTAACAGTCAAGGAGACCTACCCAAATCCTGTAACAGTTAAGGGGACCTACCCAAATCCTGTAACAGTCAAGGAGACCTATCCAAATCCTGTAACAGTCAAGGGGATCTACCTAAATCCTGTAACAGTCAAGGGGGTCTACCCAAATCCTGTAACAGTCAAGGAGACCTACCTAAATCCTGTAACAGTTAAGGGGACCTACCCAAATCCTGTAACAGTCAAGGGGACCTACCCAAATCCTGTAACAGTCAAGGGGATCTACCTAAATCCTGTAACAGTCAAGGGGGTCTACCCAAATCCTGTAACAGTCAAGGGGATCTACCCAAATCCTGTAACAGTCAAGGGGATCTACCCAAATCCTGTAACAGTCAAGGGGGTCTACCCAAATCCTGTAACAGTCAAGGAGACCTACCCAAATCCTGTAACAGTCAAGGGGACATACGCAAATCCTAACAGTCAAGGAGACCTAACCAAATCCTGTAACAGTCAAGGAGACCTATCCAAATCCTGTAACAGTCAAGGGGATCTACCCAAATCCTGTAACAGTCAAGGGGATCTACCCAAATCCTGTATCAGTTAAGGGGATCTACCCAAATCCTGTATCAGTTAAGGAGACCTAACCAAATCGTTTAATGCAAAGTTGGTTTGTTTGCTTAATGCAGGACAACAAAACAGCATTTGCAGGATAAATATTATTACAGGGCTTCACTGCAGGTAGTAATAGTACAGGGCATCAGCTTACTGCAGGATAAATACAGTAATAGTACAGGGCATCAGCTTACTGCAGGATAAATATAGTAATAGTACAGGGCATCAGCTTACTGCAGGATAAATACAGTAATAGTACAGGGCATCAGCTTACTGCAGGATAAATATAGTAATAGTACAGGGACTCAGCTTACTGCAGGATAAATATAGTAATAGTACAGGGACTCAGCTTACTGCAGGATAAATATAGTAATAGTACAGGGACTCAGCTTACTGCAGGATAAATATAGTAATAGTACAGGGACTCAGCTTACTGCAGGATAAATATAGTAATAGTACAGGGACTCAGCTTACTGCAGGATAAATATAGTAATAGTACAGGACATCAGCTTACTGCAGGATAAATATAGTAATAGTACAGGGACTCAGCTTACTGCAGGATAAATATAGTAATAGTAGTACAGGATAAATATAGTAATAGTACAGGGACTCAGCTTACTGCAGGATAAATATAGTAATAGTACAGGGACTCAGCTTACTGCAGGATAAATATAGTAATAGTACAGGGACTCAGCTTACTGCAGGATAAATATATAGTATTAGTACAGGGACTCAGCTTACTGCAGGATAAATATAGTAATAGTACAGGGACTCAGCTTACTGCAGGATAAATATAGTAATAGTACAGGGACTCAGCTTACTGCAGGATAAATATAGTAATAGTACAGGGACTCAGCTTACTGCAGGATAAATATAGTAATAGTACAGGGACTCAGCTTACTGCAGGATAAATATATAGTATTAGTACAGGGACTCAGCTTACTGCAGGATAAATATAGTAATAGTACAGGGACTCAGCTTACTGCAGGATAAATATAGTAATAGTACAGGGACTCAGCTTACTGCAGGATATAGTATATAGATAAATAATAGTACAGGGACTCAGCTTACTGCAGGATAAATATAGTAATAGTACAGGGACTCAGCTTACTGCAGGATAAATATAGTAATAGTACAGGGACTCAGCTTACTGCAGGATAAATATAGTAATAGTACAGGGACTCAGCTTACTGCAGGATAAATATAGTAATAGTACAGGGACTCAGCTTACTGCAGGATAAATATAGTAATAGTACAGGGACTCAGCTTACTGCAGGATAAATATAGTAATAGTACAGGGACTCAGCTTACTGCAGGATAAATATAGTAATAGTACAGGGACTCAGCTTACTTACTGCAGGATAAATATAGTAATAGTACAGGGACTCAGCTTACTGCAGGATAAATATAGTAATAGTACAGGGACTCAGCTTACTGCAGGATAAATATAGTAATAGTACAGGGACTCAGCTTACTGCAGGATAAATATAGTAATAGTACAGGGACTCAGCTTACTGCAGGATAAATATAGTAATAGTACATGGACTCAGCTTACTGCAGGATTAATATAGTAATAGTACATGGACTCAGCTTACTGCAGGATAAATATAGTAATAGTACATGGACTCAGCTTACTGCAGGATAAATATAGTAATAGTACAGGGACTCAGCTTACTGCAGGATAAATATAGTAATAGTACAGGGACTCAGCTTACTGCAGGATAAATATAGTAATAGTACAGGGACTCAGCTTACTGCAGGATAAATATAGTAATAGTACAGGGACTCAGCTTACTGCAGGATAAATATAGTAATAGTACAGGGACTCAGCTTACTGCAGGATTAATACAGTGATAGTACAGGGACTCAGCTTACTGCAGGATAAATATAGTAATAGTACAGGGACTCAGCTTACTGCAGGATAAATATAGTAATAGTACAGGGCATCAGCTTACTGCAGGATAAATATAATAATAGTACAGGGACTCAGCTTACTGCAGGATAAATATAGTATTAGTACAGGGACTCAGCTTACTGCAGGATAAATATAGTAATAGTACAGGGACTCAGCTTACTGCAGGATAAATATAGTAATAGTACAGGGACTCAGCTTACTGCAGGATAAATATAGTAATAGTACAGGGACTCAGCTTACTGCAGGATAAATATAGTAATAGTACAGGGACTCAGCTTACTGCAGGATAAATATAGTAATAGTACAGGGACTCAGCTTACTGCAGGATAAATATAGTAATAGTACAGGGACTCAGCTTACTGCAGGATTAATACAGTGATAGTACAGGGCATCAGCTTACTGCAGGATAAATATAGTAATAGTACAGGGCATCAGCTTACTGCAGGATAAATACAGTAATAGTACAGGGACTCAGCTTACTGCAGGGATAAGCTTACTGCAGGATAAATATAGTAATAGTACAGGGCATCAGCTTACTGCAGGATAAATACAGTAATAGTACAGGGACTCAGCTTACTGCAGGATAAATACAGTAATAGTACAGGGACTCAGCTTACTGCAGGATAAATATAGTAATAGTACATGGACTCAGCTTACTGCAGGATAAATATAGTAATAGTACAGGACATCAGCTTACAGCAGGATAGATATAGTAATAGTACAGGACATCAGCTTACAGCAGGATAGATATAGTAATAGTACAGGGCATCAGCTTACTTACCTTTATTTCAGAAACTTTTTTAACATATAACATAACTTTTCTTCTTTGTAATGTCATGTCAGAAATGCTATACCCATCCACCACCTACATTTCTCTTTTGTATTGATACAAACTCCTTCTCTAGAGTATGTCAGGGTGCAGGTAAAATAACAATTAGGAATCTAAGGGTCTTGTCTTGGTTATTAAAAAGTCAAGATTTTACTAAACTGACCAGTGAGATTGAAATCAGGGCAAGGTCATTTGACTGAACAAATTTGTTCCCGATTTCAAGATTTTTTTTACACATTTAAACATGACCATGAAATAGGTCCAGGTCATTCATTTAGATAATTTTAGTTTCCCTTCATCCCATCATGCTACACACTAAACATCATAAGCCTGTGACTCTTATTCAAAATTATTATTCAAAAGAAGTTGTTTAAAAGGAAATGTTGACGATGACAGGCTAGTTGGCCTGATGATTGACAAACAGATGTTGGGGCATCACGTTATGGGACAGTGTGAATCAATATGATTTTTCCATATTACAAAGGGAAATGTCCTACCAAAAAAAACATCATTCTTACAGGGAAACATAATGAAAATTTTCACTCTAATAACTTTTTCAAAATTAAAAAAAATAAAATATAACCTTATGTAAATCTAATGCATGATTTTATAATCTATTAAATAATTTCACTCAAAGCTAATTTAAAGAAATTTAAATCACTGAACTCTCTTAATAATTCCACTTTACTTATACATCAACACTAACTTAAGATCCTCTATGATTACCAACTCATCACCTTGATCTGAGATCATCTACTCACACACTGCGATTCTCCTGTAGGTGGCGCTGTACACTGGTTTCTCAGGCTCCAGGATCCACGTCTTCTGGTCCAGCTCTACCATGACATCTATAAAGTCCTGGTACATGTACACAGCTGACTCAAACTGTTTGTACAAACACTCCAGACTGCTCTGAGGATGACAAAAGCACATGACAGCATTCTCCAGCCATTTAAACAAGGAATAATGTAGGGCTTTGTTAGTTTGTCAACATTAACAATGAGAATTATATAGGATCATACTGCAATTTGCTAAAACATAACTTAAACTTCGCTAGAGTACTGTATACTGGGAAATTTTTATCACCCGTTTGATTTTTGCCCTTTTTATCCCTGAACTTGGATGGTGAATTTAAGATTGGGATGGGAATTTGTTACAATCCTCAATGGGCAAAATGAACACGAGACAAACTCATGCATAATTGTACAAGGATAAAATGATATGCTTTATTCACCCTTTTCATTCTCATTTTGGGAGTTCTTACAAAAGCAGAGTCAATCATGCCAGAATATTGATGACATCACAATAATGGGTCACATGATCATCGAACAGTGTAACACCATGACAACAAATTCTCTATACACTGAAATGTGCAGATGGAAAAAATTGCTACTACAGACATACAGATTTCTAATTGAACATATTTAAGCTGTTTTAAGTCCAGGGTACCTACACATTTTCTTCAACTCTAGAAGGAAACTGGACTTATCACATGACAATGACAAATCATGTTGGAATTTCAGCAGAATTTTAATGAGAAGGGATTGATTTTATAGTGCAACTACTGTAATCTGAATCTGTGTTAAAATTCTTGCCATAACACTGCAATCATAGAGACTACAAATGCCTTTACTTACTGTTGATTTCCATTGTACATGGAACTGGCCAGGAAGGTCCACTACACACCTTGGAGCACTGCGAGGATGCTGCCAATTACAGGTAAAAAGGGAGAAAAACACATCTATCTCTACATAATTATTCTAAACGGTTCATCTTTGTAAAAGACCTGGCTTCCAATCATTTAGACTACTTATTACATAAACCTTTCAATGAGATATAATGATTTATTTTTTTATAAGATTTAATCAGAAATACCTACTGACCTAATGATTTATACCTTATGTGTATGGTACTTATCAACATTAAACTTAAATTTGGGTCATTGGCCTTGTGAAGAGTATCTGGGAAAACATATTCCAGCATTGTGATAAAAGTTAGCAAGATTCAACTATAAGTTTTTTCTTTTGAAAATGAATTTGTAACTTGTAAAATATTTTTAACCTGATCGTAACTACTGACCTTAACCAGGGAGTGAAGTCATGAATTCAAATCTGGTATTCCATAACTAACATATTTCAATTTAAACTAAATTTCCTCAAATATCAGCCATGTAAAGTTTTTTGTTGGAGATTAAGTTCACATACAAGCTTGTTAACAAATGCCATTTCTTATGTCATCAAGTAATTTTTTCTCCAAGTGAAGTTTTCCCTCTCATTCAATTATAATCAGGTGAGTCTTTGAAACCTTACAGAAATATGCTTACTTGCGAACTGAGTGTGACCTTCATAATGTGTTGTCTTCCCTTTTTGTCTTTACATTGAAGCTCAAGTGTTTGAAACTTGGCATCAATAGACACCAACCTGTAAATATATCAAACATCTAATTATGTCAAAACCCAACAAAACCTTGTCATTTATACAAATCTTACTTTCTGTAGATATAGATCTCACAGTGCTTCACACAATACATACATTAAGCTACCTTTTTAGTAACTATGATTACGTATAGTTCACCTCCATATGACTTGCCAGTGCCATCCAGGGTCACCTACCTCCCTTAAAATTACCTGTCCCATCCCAGATGGGCTGCCCTATTCATGATTGACCTGTCCCATCCCAGATGTTCCATCTTCTTTTTGTGTTACCTGTCCCATCCCAGGTGTTGTACCTTATTTATAAGTTATCTTTTCCATCTTCCCTAGGACTAATTTGTCTCATATCAGGTGTTCCACCTTTCCTATGACTTACTTGTCCCATCCAATGTAATTTACCTTCCCTTTGACTTACCTGTTCCAGATCAGGTATTTCACCTTCTTTATGACTTACCTGTCCCATCCCAGGTGTTCTACCTTCCCTTCGACTTACCTGTTCCAGATGACCAGGTATTCCACCTATTTATGACTTACCTATCTGAGGTAATTTACCTTCCCTTTGACATACCTGTCCCATCCCAGGTGTTCCACTTCCCCCAAGAGTTGAGCACATACTTGACTGCTGCCTCCCTGATGGCTATTGTGTCTTCCCTCCAATTGTCTCTCCTGTAGTATCGTGTCAAAATGTATCATTTACTGGTTCACTTGTACATATTCATGCACTTTCTTTATTGTTGTTTTGATAGCCTATGACTAAGAAGTGTTTATGGTTCACAAATTGTGTTTAGTCAGCACTTTTACTATCATGAAGTCAACTTAAGTAATAGTCCTTTAAAGCATTAATTTTTCCTTCCCTAAAGTTTCCATTTTTTATTAGAGGACCTGATAATGCTGCAACTGAAAGACCATATGGTAAATGATATAGTACATACATATACAATACACCAGAAGAGGGGGAGGAGGGGTGTTAAGTTTTTGCAGGATCATCAGTTTTGTAATAGTAATCTAAAAATGGTTAACAAATAAGCCCTCCCCAAACTTTAATACTGAACATTTACACAAAGAGAGGGGGACTTGTTTGAGGGACAATATAGTAACAGTATCACATAAATATCTTCTATGGTTTTATGTTGTCATTAGTGTTGTGTAGTGTATGCAATTGTTTATGTTAACGCTGACCTTCTGTAGTGGGAGAGTGACCAGGTGAGTGAATTCAGGCCGGGTGCTTGGAATTTCGTCCTTGTGTTATTTAAGAATTTCACCAATTGCTTTCTTTGAAGAAGGCATGATTATTCAGGCACAGATTACAGACTGTGATGTGTATTCTTAACTTTTCTATGTCTATTTTGCTATTCTTTGGAAAACAATTTGTAATGGGTGTTGTACTGGTTTAGGGATGATATTTATAGTAATATTTCGTAGTTTGCCGTTATTATAATTTGTAGTTGAATATGTAATATGACATTAAGTATAAGTTGTAACAATGTGTCATGTCTATAGCATACTCAGGTGAGGACTTGTGCAAGATTGAAAAAGTATGAAAACTGTAAGTGATCATATTTTTTGTTATTTATGTGCCCCACCATAACTTTACAATGAGTTTCACTTTATTATGCTACACCGGGGCCTACGTTCATGATCAGCAAAAAAAATGGTTTTATCACTGGAAAGGTTGCCAGTTAAGAGGAAGTATGGCAAATGCCATGACCATCCATCTTGACAACGTGACAATGGCAAAGCAGATCTTCGCTTCATTTTTTTTTCAGTCTCTACTGTGGTAATTCTTCTACAAGAAGGAATGTGTATCTGACATTCTGTGTGGACAATTGAATGAACACTTACTGTTCATTGTTTGGGGGACCTGATCATTATACCTGTGTGGTATGTCTTCAGAGAATTTGTGATCAGGAGCATCAACTCAAATGACTTTCTTGTTTATTAGTCTTGTGTACGAGTTTGTGTGTATGAGATAGTTATCTAGGTAAGTGTTTTGTAAAACAATTGTTAATCATTATTTGGTTAAGTGTTTTCTGTTCCTGGTTCATGCTTGATGCTCGTCCCACGTAACAACCAATTAATTCCATGATAGTTTAGGTGTATAATATAAAACACAGCTTGGTATATGTATGTTATGATTTATATGTTGGTACTCCTCGGGATTGCCTACCATGTTATATTTCATTCAAAGATATATATTATACAAAAACATGATGACTTAGAAATTGATTTTGATCCTTTTTTGCAGATGTTTTTTCTGGTAATGGTTATAAAACATATGATAAATTGAAATAATAGTCAATTACAAATAATACAAAACTTGAAATACACATTAAACATACATTTGTTTATGTGAAGGAATCATACAAATTTCCTCAAAACTTTAGAAGATTGATCCCACATGGATTAGACATATCAGACATTTGATTCTTCATCCTGACTTAGAAGATGGAAATATCTGAAAGTGTTGGGTATGAGTTTGGACATGAGAAATACATCTGAAATTTCACCAGATATGGCCCCAACAAGCATCAACAAACAGACATATGCACAAACAAATGGAGGGCAGAGCAAAACGATTAATTTATACATATACTATAGCACCATAATAATAAAAAGATTTCTGAAAACAGGTTCTGAGCAAATTACATACACAGCAACTGATTTGTGTTGTTGAAATTTGATGATAATGTACAAAGTGTCCTTCAAAATACAATTGCATTCCTGTCTGTAAATCAATTGCACTTCCTTGATGCTGCTTTGGTCATAAAGATCAAAGATCACAGACAGACTGTTACTCAGGGAATTCAAAGATAACACAACAATATAGAGTAGAATGTGATTTCATTAAATTAAATAACAACACCAGAGCAGCTCTTTTCTCGTGAGACTGGATCATTAAGAAATGTCAACAAGCCTGCATCCTTCAGCCAATACACTTCCTCCCAAAATGTCTGGTGCGTGACTCAATTCTTATTAAACACCCACACTATTACGGAAGTCAACAAAAATATAAACTAGATCCAGCGCTTTAACGTTTATCTTGGCAACCTAACACACAATTTCAAAGTAAATATTGTATGACAGATATAGTCAGTAACGTTTTAATTACCAAATTGACCTTAGAAACGATTATTAAAAGCTATTATCAGGAGACATTAAAGACATAAATACATATTTATTCATAGGATTGTTTCATACCTCATTGAGTACACAAAGTATTACAGAAACAAGGGCCAGATACACTTGTATTAATATACATATAAGTCATATAACTGTCACAAAATATTAACAATGAGTTACAGAATCAATTCATGCCGGTCACAGATAGTACCGATTGATGCCGGTCACAGATAGTACCGATTCATGCCGGTCACAGGTAGTACCGATTCATGCCGGTCACAGGTAGTACCGATTCATGCCGATCACAGATAGTACTTCATAATTAGCTTATGTACAGGATACAGGTCAAACTTGTTATATGTGTAATAACAGATCTGAAGCAGTAATAGTGTAACAATGTAAACCAAGAAATCTCTTTGAACCCGACAACCATGACAACTAGCAGGTGTCATCAAAGTGCTGAGTTAATAATGATTATTATCAATATATATCATCAAAGTAAGTTTCTGAATATTTTCTTCTGGTCGGTAATGTCAACAGTATAGCAGTTCTTATCACACAGCCAGTAGTAGATTGGAGTGTGACCATGCAGTCATCAAACATTACACTCTCATTTTCTTCTAGATGTGTTATAAGAACTTATATCCCATCAAAGAATGATACTTAAATCAACACTGATCAACAAAGTATGATTTTTAGATAAATATTAGTATCAAAGTATTGAGTTTTCTTTTAATTTATGATCATCAAAGCATTGAGTTTTATTTTAATATAGGTCATCAAAGCATCAAGTTTTATTTTAATATAGGTCATCAAAGCATCAAGTTTTATTTTAATATAGGTCATCAAAGCATTGAGTTTTATTTTAAAATAGGTCATCAAAGCATTGAGTTTTATTTTAATGTAGGTCATCAAAGCATCAAGTTTTATTTTAATATAGGTCATCAAAGCATCAAGTTTTATTTTAAAATAGGTCATCAAAGCATTGAGTTTTATTTTAATATAGGTCATCAAAGCATCAAGTTTTATTTTAATATAGGTCATCAAAGCATCAAGTTTTATTTTAAAATAGGTCATCAAAGCATTGAGTTTTATTTTAATATAGGTCATCAAAGCATTGAGTTTTATCTTAATATAGGTCATCAAAGCATCAAGTTTTATTTTAATATAGGTCATCAAAGCATTGAGTTTTATTTTAAAATAGGTCATCAAAGCATTGAGTTTTATTTTAATGTATGTCATCAAAGCATTGAGTTTTAATTTTCATATAGGTCATCAAAACATTGAGTTTTCTTTTAATATATGGTCATCAAAGTATTGAGTTTTATTTTAATATAGGTCATCAAAGCATTGAGTTTTATCTTAATATAGGTCATCAAAGCATCAAGTTTTATTTTAATATAGGTCATCAAAGCATTGAGTTTTATTTTAAAATAGGTCATCAAAGCATTGAGTTTTATTTTAATATATGTCATCAAAGCATTGAGTTTTAATTTTCATATAGGTCATCAAAACATTGAGTTTTCTTTTAATATATGGTCATCAAAGTATTGAGTTTTATTTCAATATAGGTCATCAAAGTATTGAGTTTTCTTTTAATATAGGTCATAAAAGTATTGAGTTTTATTTCAATATAGAACATCAAAGTACTGAGTTTTATTTCAATATAGGGCATCAAAGTACCGAGTTTTATTTCAATATAGGGCATCAAAGTACTGAGTTTTATTTCAATATAGGACATCAAAGTACTGAGTTTTATTTTAATATAGGTCATCAGTTTTAGAATAATTACTTATTGAAATAAGACATCACACTATTGAGTTCAAAATGTTCTCCATAGTGTTTAATTTCTCACATTGTAAGGTACAAAGGGAACAATATTATTGATCCTCACCCAAAACAAGTATGAATAAAATATATCAGTATTAATTTTACCATGGACAGCATCAACAGGATGGTGCTGTTACTGGTTAGGCATAAGTGTTTATTACACAAATATCATAGGCAAGTACCCAACAAAATCAGTAATGACTTGACCGGTAAATTTTTATTTGGATGTCACAATAAGGCAATATCATTACCTTAAATATCGTTATTCTAATAGGGCAGTTTTACGATCCAGTGTTTGTAATACCTACCACTAGACTTTTCACCTCCAGCAGGTACTGGCACAGGGAAGTGCACTGTTTCAGCCTCTGTAACACATACACAGATAAGTCTAATATCAAAATTCCGTACTAGGGAAGGGAATGACATATACGAAACCTGAAGCCTTTATGCAACATTTGGTACTCCAAGGAAGGAAGATTGACAGCTTTAAGGTTTGATGTACCAAGTTTATGTACTTCAGCGAAGGAAGATTCAAAGTTTAAAGTCTAAATTTCATGTATCAACAGTAAGTAATGGTATTTCTGGGGGAAAATACAAAAACATATAGACTCTTCTTCCTTTGTAATCCAAATGTTTTATTGCTTGCTCTTGGTGTTGTCAATTTCAGTACAGGTCATTTTACTGAGATAGTGTAAACTTGTGGTAAAAATTATCATCTTTTTCCATATTGCTATGTGGAACAACTTGTCTCTTTGGTGCTTTCTTGATATTCCAAATGTCAGAGATTTGATATTCTTAACACCAGAATAAAGCTATCTGATTGGTCAATAAAAGATGGGTTTTACTAACTATAACAGTTCATTAGAACTGTGATTCAAACAAGGCTCCACCAGACCTCCACGTACCAAAGTACAGAAAAAAATGAGAAATGAGAGAGATTGCCAAGGTTTCATAATGAAATTTAAAGTAACAGCAATCTAAAAGTTATTGACCAGACAAAACTTCCATTTGTATACAACTTCAAGGCAGAATGTTATAAAAATCATAAGTTGTAGACGGGACAACTGACTAACGGACACACAAAGTAACCCTACCTGTACCTTAATATACTTTGTGATAATAAATAAACACAGGTTTGTTCATTTCCCTTTCTCTGTCTTAAAACTTAATTTTGTATATAATTTCTGGATATAAGATCATGTACTGTACATAAATACACACATTCTGACAGATAAAATCAAGAGCTTGATTTAATATCAGGTAACAAATATACCTGAAATATGAACATCAAACCAAACAGCAGATTATGTTTTTCAGATAAATAACAACAGATTTTACCTGTTTCAAGATGGCTGTGTATCCATGCAACAGCTGCTGAAGTTTCCAGTCACAAGATAACTCAAGGTCTTCAAGGGTCTTATTTTCAAACAATTCAATATGGATTCTGTAATCTTCATTCTAATAATATTGAGATAAAAGTGAATAAAGACAAGCAGTGAGATGACCATTATATCAGAACAGATGTTAACTCACTTATCATTATGTATTATAATAAATACAAATATCAATATAACAGTGACTTGAATTGCAAAATTCTGGTATGAAATATTGTTTTAACTTAAAATAGATTATATTAACATAAGTCTAAATTCTGACACATATATTGACCTCTTGATGTTTCCCTTCAACAGCTTAAGGCACTCATTGAAAATTTTGTGGAATTATTGTTAAAGAAAAGCAAATTTAAATTTAATTAAAATTAAATTTTTAAAAAAGTAAATTTGGTGGAATAATGGAATAAGTCTGAAATATGGTGGAATTATGGGTATGACAGTCATAAACTTGGTAAAAGTGTGGATATGGCAGTCTTAAATGTGGTGGAATTATGGGTATGACAGCCATAAACTTGGTAAAAGTGTGGATATGGCAGTCTTAAATGTGTTGGAATTATGGGTATGACAGCCATAAACTTGGTAAAAGTGTGGATATGGCAGTCTTAAATGTGTTGGAATTATGGGTATGACAGCCATAAACTTGGTAAAAGTGTGGATATGGCTTTCTTAAATGTGTTGGAATTATGGGTATGACAGCCATAAACTTGGTAAAAGTGTGGATATGGCTTTCTTAAATGTGTTGGAATTATGGGTATGGCAGCCATAAACTTGGTAAAAGTGTGGATATGGCAGTCTTAAATGTGGTGGAATTATGGGTATGGCAGCCATAAACTTGGTAAAAGTGTGGATATGGCAGTCTTAAATGTGGTGGAATTATGGGTATGGCAGCCATAAACTTGGTAAAAGTGTGGATATGGCAGTCTTAAATGTGGTGGAATTATGGGTATGACAGCCATAAACTTGGTAAAAGTGTGGATATGGCAGTCTTAAATGTGTTGGAATTATGGGCATGACAGCCATAAACTTGGTAAAAGTATGGATATGGCAGTCTTAAATGTGTTGGAATTATGGGTATGACAGCCATAAACTTGGTAAAAGTGTGGATATGGCTTTCTTAAATGTGTTGGAATTATGGGTATGGCAGCCATAAACTTGGTAAAAGTGTGGATATGGCAGTCTTAAATGTGGTGGAATTATGGGTATGGCAGCCATAAACTTGGTAAAAGTGTGGATATGGCAGTCTTAAATGTGGTGGAATTATGGGTATGGCAGCCATAAACTTGGTAAAAGTGTGGATATGGCAGTCTTAAATGTGGTGGAATTATGGGTATGGCAGCCATAAACTTGGTAAAAGTATGGATATGGCAGTCTTAAATGGGTTGGAATTATGGGCATGACAGCCATAAACTTGGTAAAAGTATGGATATGGCAGTCTTAAATGTGTTGGAATTATGGGCATGACAGCCATAAACTTGGTAAAAGTATGGATATGGCAGTCTTAAATGTGTTGGAATTATGGGCATGACAGCCATAAACTTGGTAAAAGTATGGATATGGCAGTCTTAAATGTGTTGGAATTATGGGTATGGTAATCCTTATAATACCTATTCCTTAACCAATTTCATTTCCTGCAATATGACTTACATAGATGTTGATGTAGCCAGAATATACAGAAGCCTCCTTATTCAATGGAATCAGCCCAGGAAAGTTCCTAAGCATATCCATGTGTGGTCTTCCTATTTTCAGAATTCCCCATCACCTATCAAAACAAGAAATCAAGTTTGATTGAAGAACCTGTCATTCAAAGGCATCTCGACCTATATACAGGTGGTCAGATCACAGAAGATCAAAACATCAAATACAGCTCAGTTCACTGTCCTCTCCACTAGTATCCTGTATACAGAGGTTATGTCTTTTTTCCACTAAAGTCCTTTAACAAATACAATGTAGATTGAGTTAAACAAAGTGAAGCAGTCGTCCATCAGTTCTTGGATGCAGATCATTAATAGTGAATGTGATTACCTGCCAGGACATTTCCAAAGTGGTTAAGAATGACAGACCATTAAACCTGGAACAATGACCTCACATGTGAAATCTGTAGTACAAGTCAAAATACTATGATGTAAATAGAATCATTATGCTTAATATTTCATGAGATCAAATTCACCTGCAGCTGAATACATTAGGCTACATTGAGAGGTAAATATCCAGTCCTGGTATTGTATGGACAGAGGTTCCAGACCATTATGTATTTCAGAAAAGCCATTTTGTCGAGCCGTATCACATAAACATAGACCTTCATGACCTTGTACATGAAAAAATTAAAATTTGTGATTTAAACCATTCACCATGAAATATTAAGAGTGTGTATTTCATTTGCAAATTTGTTTATCTTTTTTAATTGCATATTTTTACATGTCAAACATCCTCTTAGATATGATGACATAAGCTATCAATTCATCCTCAGATGCTAATGTTTTGTTTGTCATGTGAATAAAAATCAACCATAAATAATAGACCATGCCTTCCTGAAAATCCAAACTTGCACATCTTATATTGAAAAAAATGATGACTTATAAATTATCACTTTTGACAATTAATTTCCAAGATTATTTAAATAACGAATTGTAGGCCAGGAGATGAAAAATCAACTTTATTGCAATAGTTTGTGTTATGGAAAGAAGCTTACCAAGAAATATGGCTCATTTGATTAATAGGATCAAACAATAAAATCTTGATTCTAACCCTTTTGAAAAGGTGCACACATAAACACAGATATCCACTACTTTCGCACCATAAATGTATTTCATTTGATTTTCATCAAAATGTCATCCCTGTTCAAATGATGATTTTATGTTATACATGTGTACTTCTTGGTCACACTAAGCTAACTCAGCGTTTCTGTGATTTAGTGATGTCATCAGAAACGGAAGTGCAGTCACATGTCCGATACACATGTTGATAATTTCAGGTAAGCGAATTTCAGGTCGTATCGGATGATTTTCTTTTTAACTGGAAATTACTGCAATTTCCCGATTAGTTTTTTAAATAAAATCTTATCATAGTAAGAAAACATTTCAAGTTATTTATTTATTTGTTAGGTGGCAGTTCATCAACTTGGCGAAAAATTCGTCTTACGTGGTCCTAAACTACCCGTGATATTTATGTCAAAATATAGGGACCTGCAAAATATCGTTGCCAGTGACTTTTAAACTAACTACATTCTTGATACTAATTAATATATCACAAGTAATTTTCGATATATTTCCACAAGTATGCATGCATAAAAATAATCATGAATACTTGACGATGTAAAACACTTGATAATTATGAGTTTACAAAAATTGTCAAATTTAGCTATTACAAAACTGTGTGAATATCAGCCTGAAAGAAGAGTTGACCTGGCAAATAATTTATGGTGACAAATTAGAAGTCATTCAGGATTGATAATGATCACATATCATTACCCGCATTTCGCATACCACCATCAAGGCCTACATTTTCGTAGTTTACATCAGCATATTTCCCTCCATTGGCTATGAACTTCAACGTTGTTTAGGTGTTTGGTAGTTACTTTATGTGGACGTCTTGCTCTACAAACGTTCTTTGGCACTGAGTGGATTTTTACGGAAAATAACGATTATTCATGAGCTCGCGAGGTTACCCAATATAAACAAATCCCACCTGCGTCAGAGTCAGTGTAACGGCAACTCAGACAAGTGGATCACATAGGCTCTATTCATAAAATTTCTCTAATCATGTGTGACAGTCGAATTACAACTTCATTTGTACCCGATCCTAATATGGAATTAGAACAGAAATTAAGAAAGCTGACGACAACAACCAATGTAACCATGAATTCCAGCGACAATCTCGGTGAATTAAAGGAGACGGAGTCCGAGAAGGAGAAAGACCGTGAACAGGACAATAAGAACTATAAAGATGAACAAATTAAAAGCGCTTTACAAGAAAACTATAAAGGTATACTAAAGGGTCTTGGAGAAGATACATCACGGCAGGGACTTCTTAGGACACCAGAAAGGGCAGCCAAGGCTATGATGTATTTCACGAAAGGCTACAGAGAAAACATAAAAGGTAACTAACGGGTGTATAGATATGCATGGCTAGTTTTTACAATAATCTATCATAAAACCTTAAAATACCATGCATAGAGAATGCACGTACTCGTTTATGTGTGAGGTATAAACAAAAGGTATAATGCAATCGAATATTCATTATCTGGCCATGTAATTCTTGATTCGCATGAAAATGTGCAATTGACTTTTATCTTATATATAATCGCAGATGTGTACATGCATCTTGGGCAGTGTTATAAGGATGCAGCTCTCTCCAATTGTATATATGTCCTGTTATCATATTAATATCAGTGTCATTTAAGCTTCGACGATAGTGGATTAGTGCAGTTGATTTTTCAAGCAATATGGTTTATGCAATAATTGTATTGGGTTTTACAATGATGATGATCAGCATTATTCTGTCTAACAATATATTAAATCAATGTTCTCACAAATAACAAGCTGTTTATACATGTAGCTGAAAAGGTCCTTATTTTGTTAAAAAACACTTGAATAACATACAGTTTTGTATCTTAATTTATCATATGTGACAGCTAAAATACAAGAAAATATCAGTGATCATTTATAAGGATTTAATATCGATCATTGCTTCAGCTGATGTTAAACGATTAGTTAATTAATTATCTCTGATCATTGTCCCATTACTAGAAAATGGAATTCTCTTGGAAGTTTTGCATTGTTTATATTATTAAGAAAACAGTTAAGTATCAGTGATCAATCATGAAAAGTTACAGTTGATTATTGCATCAGTTGTGGTTGAACAATAATTTTAAAGTGGTGCTCTGTTTAAATTTTGTGTTTTGTTTATTATTTTATGCCTTCTCACTGACGCGTACCCTACAAATCTATACATGCTTCCTGGCAGGTTTTTTGGTCTGGTAGCACCTGGTGTTAAATGTCTTTCCACCATTTACTGTAACTGCATCATTACTTGCTGTTCTTTGCTTGACCTTTAGCTTAATTTGTGAAGTAGGGACTTGCTGACCTATTGTAGTGGGAAGTCATGCTACCTTGTCTGTCAATCTACCCATCATTCATGGAAACCACACTAGTATGACCTAAGCTGTATTACGTCATGAGAGGCTACAACTCTTAAAAAACTTACCATGCAATTAAGGTAGAATTGCTGCCTTTCTCAAAATTTGGATATTGTGTGAGTGCTTATAGACATACACCACTTGATGTTAATTATAATGAATTTTCATGGAATTTATTAGTTATTGTGTATTCAATAATGTGTCTATTTTTGATACATGACATATTCAATCTTTGTTAAAATCAATACAGTGAAATAAAACTTTAATTGGGTGTTTGAATTGTATACAATTTCAAATTAATGAAATGAAGTTAGGTAAGTATTTATTATGGTAGATGATATCATTAAACTTATACTTAGCAGTTATCTTAGTAAAGGATCCTATGATGAGTTGTAATTCAAGTGTAAGACATTATCATATATATCTACAAATAAGGACATGCCTACAAATAAGCCCTCTTTATATTTTGGTAGAATCATCAAGATTAAAATAGTAAGCCAAATGCAGTTCACATAAGTCCTCACCATACTGTTATACCTTAAAAGTATAATTTACCAAGAAACTACTCTCTGTTATATAATGAGACTTCCATATTGTTTTAAACTTTTAGTAAAAGTACAAAACTTAGAATCATCAAAAAAACAAATGTTACTGTAAATGGTAATGCTAGGTGAAATCAGAGCAGGATTTAAGTACAAGAAAACTTGTATTACCGTCTAAGGCTTTACACAGACATGTATAGAAAGGAAAAATATGTACACCCATTTACTTTTATGTTTGTGGGGTAATAGTTTTGGTTATGGGGATCACCTTATGGTCATGGATTCATTCTGCTTGAGAAGTATACAAAATTTTGTTGCTTGAGAAGTGTACCAAAATCAGTATAGTCATAACTAGCTATGTCATTGTAATCCTCAAATTGACGTAAGGTTTTTAAACAAATTGGAAAAAAAACCAATATGGCTGCATATTGACAAATATATTTTGTGATTTGATTGAACAATAATGTTAAAAGTTAATGGGGATGCTGAGAAACTTAATTGAAGAATGATGTTGTATTTTGTCACCTTTTATCGCTAAAATTCAGTCTCGTTTTCGTGATTGCTATCTACACCACTTCTGCTATTACAGTAATTTATTGAGTCTACAAACCAGTCACGTATTGACAATTTAGCCAACGTAAGTTTATGTAAGAAAAAAATGTTACTTTAAGTTTGAAAGTTATGTGCAAGTTCGATATAGATAACAACATGCTGGAATATGCTAGCATATGTCGTATGACAGCAAGGTCAATGAACAAATTTGTGCATTATGTTCACCATCATTTTGGCTCATAAGTTCCATTTAGTGGATATAGGTTGTCAGAATGCTCTGCAATCATTCACATCCACTCGTTTCCATTATTGAAAAGTGAAGCATAAGTCGAAATACACTCAGATAATGTCTACTGTACCCAAAGCTTATTTCTAAGTTACGAGTAATGGATGGTAAACATGCTGCCAACATTCATAACATATGAGTGACCATTGTCAAACTCATACATAGCACAAGACAACATTGCACAGACAATCAGGAATTTGTAAAGAATGCGTGATCCTCATCAAATATTCGACCATCAGCTGGTTATACCTTCCAAACTGCTGTTGCCACTCGATCCATGGTCTTTCCAGAATCCTCCATCTCTCTGACATCATGGACTATTGACCAGTTCATGCTGTGAACCACTTTCTGTCCCAATTCCCCAAAATACTGCCAGTACACCATTATACAGTATAAGCCATAGGCTAGAATCACATTCAGTAAGTTGTATGGTCAGTTGGAACAAGTTATAGATTTGTTCAGGATAAGTAATTAGTTCATAATGTGTACATTCCACTTGTTATGAATAAGGTATACATACACCCTAAAGTGGAAAAAATCTTTGATGGTCCAGTATTTCATAGAATTCTTATTAATTTATCATATGTTAGCATAAGTTCTACAAATCATTAAAGTGTGACAGGGCCCTTATAGTCAGATAACCATAAAGAGAAGTGGGCTCTTGTCAATTACATTTGTACATGTCATGATTAATCAGCATATGTTATTGTGATTGAAGGTTAGCAACGGAACACATGGTAAGACATAAAACGTATTGAAATTACTTCTTGTAGTATCTAATTAAAATGGCAATCTGACTAACTAACGTTCTTCTGACTAGAATTCCCAATAGTTTCTGCATACATCTACTTTAAGTAGTTAATGCAATTAGCAAAGTCCTTTATAAACAACTTTAAAACTTCTACTTAAAATCACCACATTCATCCTGATATCATTTGCATAAAAAATGTTTGAGGTTAGATACAGGAATTAAAGGGGTCAATGTTTAAGGTAACATACAAGATTTATATTGCTTAGTGTTTGAGGTAAGATACAAGAATTATATTGCTCAGTGTTTGAGGTTAGATACAGGAATTATAGGGGTCAATGTTTAAGGTAACATACAAGATTTATATTGCTCAGTGTTTGAGGTAAGATACAAGAATTATATTGCTCAGTGTTTGAGGTAACATGTATGATTTATATTACTCAGTGTTTGAGGTAAGATACAAGATTTATGTTACTCAGTGTTTGAGGTAACATACAAGAATTATGTTGCTCAGTGTTTGAGGTAAGATACAAGAATCATATTACTCAATGTTTGAGGTAACATACAAGGTTAAGAAGGCTGCAAATTTGAGGTGAGATACAAGATTAGTAGGACTCAGTGTTTGAGGGAGTTGCTAAGGTTCAGTCTGTGAGGTAAGATACATGATTAAGAAAGCTCCATGTTTGAGGTGAGATACAAAGTTAATCAAACTCAGTGTTTGAGGTAAGATACAAGTTAATTGGACTCGGTGTTTGATATAAGATACAAGGTTAAGAAGGCTCAATGTTTGAGGGAGTTGCTAAGGTTCAGTGTTTGAGGTGAGATACACGATTAAGAAGGCTCCATGTATGAGGGAGTTGCTAAGGTTCAGTGTTTGAGGTGAGATACACGATTAAGAAGGCATGCCAATTATTTACAGTTGTGACCTATGTCATCCACATTTCATATACGATATACAATCTTCTGAAAGACAAAGTAGGTCATCAGATCTTTGTCATATCTATATAAGTTTCTAATCCAATTTCTTTATCGCTCTGTACACCTGTAGTTACTAGATTAATCTGGTTAGTGTCAAAATTAGACATTTTTACAATGTTTACAGAATTTTCACATGTGAAACAACGTCCAGACTAAATTAATGTCAGATCATGTTGTTCATAGTTGTCTTTAACTCTAAATTAACAGACTGGGTGTTGGCCAATATTCTACTTTCTCTGTAATTCTTAATTGGAAAAACAAACAGATTTAGTGGTTTAAATTGAAGTCACATAGCAAGTAATCATTTGAGTCTTTAAAAAAGATATATATCATGAAAGGAACAAATGATATTCATGGTTCATAACCTGATTTTGTTCATTAGATCAGAAAATATAGCATGTACATGTATATACTATATACATGTATAGAACACTTGTGTAGGTAAATGTGTTCTATCCTGTAAAGAAATTATCTGCAGTACACTGAAGGCCAGTCATAATATGTAAATGTTTATGTTTCGCAAGGACAACTGACAAAGAAGATAATCTTTCCTGCAATATTTACAGTGATAATATCATATGATAAATGATTTTAGAATTGTTATGCAATATTTGCTGTAGTAATATTGTATGATATATTATTTAAGAATCGTTATGCAATATTTGCAGTAATAATATCATATGATAAATTATTTTAGATTTGCAATATATGTAGTGGTAATACCATATGATTGTGATTTATAGGAGTCCTCACTTATTTTTTATTACCTCACTTTGCACAAAAGTCCATCATTTGTCTGCCCGTCGTCAGCTTTCTGTTATGTTCCTAGTATGAAGCCCAACAAATTTTGAGAAA